ACAATTAATTTTGGTATGAGTCGTATATGGAAGTAGCTAGAATATAAAGTACTCAAACAATGTCAACAATATCAACAATATCAGCTTGCAATATCAACAGTTCAATTAATCAGGATATAGGGATTGAGGCCAATGTTCAGAAGAACCGATGCACCCCCCCCCCCCCCCTCTCGAATAATGTGAGAGCTATTCAATCAATAGAGTCCGTATCGATTAACCGTGACACAAATGAAAAAGAAAGTGTATTCTACCCCAAGGAGCCCTTGAACCTAATTGTACTCAATATAATATATATAATCATGATGAAAACAAAAATACATCAACCTTGGCCATTACTTTCTTTCTATGAAATTTTCCTGGCAGTACTGCGCATTGTGACATCACTCCATTGTTTTACCAGACCCTTCCTTTTCTTAACCGTATCGATCAGATCGATAGCCATAGTGATCAATGGGAACATATTGTCGTCTGCGTCTTTTGAGCGTCACTTTCCTAGTATGCTGACTTTTTGTTTATCGTTGTATAGAGCGAGACAATAATAATTGTTTTAATATACGACATATAGAAATGGAATAAGAATTGTGTGCGCTTTCAAAATTACTGTCTTTCATTTTTAATTTATCAGCAATTTCTCTGGAAAGGGTACTCGTGTTTTTTTTATTTCAAATCAGTGGGTCGAATCATTTCAAGAAGTGGGAGGGGAGGGGGACGTAGAGGGGATGGAAAGGGCCAACACATCTTGGAAACGTTTGCATGCGTTGCCTATATGGCATAGGAAACGGTAGACATTATTTATCCCATAATATTATTATGGAGGAGGAGAAGGGGCAACTTACCAAAAACGTTCCCAATATCAGCGGCCCGTGCTGAAAGGTATATGTTTTTACTCGTTATCCTTCTCTCCACAGCACAATCTATTTTGAATATTGTCTGTTTGAAATGTGTTTTTGTTTATCATCATCCTAATGTACAATGTGTCGTGTCGAGTGAATGTAGCCATTGAGGGGGCAGTGGTGTCGGGGGGGGGGAGCATCGGCCTGAACATGTCTATTCCACTATTAGTATATTGGTGGAGAAAAAAAACGGGGAGATGAGACAAAGACCGACAAAATAACAAAGGATTCTTAATACAGAAAGTCACAAGCCTATATGGACTGATCTTGCATCCCGACTCATTCAAACAATATTTAAAGACAGTGAAATGAATTCGAAATACTGACAAGAGAACCGAACTAGAATTTCTGTCTGGTATCATACACGGTATCAATATCGTCTAAAACACTTTGAAAGCCCTTTAATGGCTTCCTGTATCACGGCGAAGTGTTAATTATTCATACTCACAATAATTGGAAAATCAAACTCCTCCAGGCGCAGACACCATAGTTTTTTTATTTGTTCGTACAATTTGACTTGACAAACAACCGACTTTATTTATTCGAAAGCCCCCTTTTGTGCCTAACGTTTTCTGACTTTACACGTTCTTTCAAGAGATGCAATTCGACGCTGAAAGAAAGGGTTTTTACAATCGTTATTGATGTCTTTGTGATAATACTGATCGATAATCCTTGGTCATTTGTTAAAGTCTTGTTAATAGATATATCTCTATTCCATTTTCAAAAAGAGCATGCAGGATTGCATAACATAGGCCTACACGAGACTCAGGATAAACAGCCAGTTGTCGGTGTGCTTCGTTCTTTAAAACAAAATCGAATAGATTTACGTGCTAATTATAATACATAAGCTAAAATTTACCATGAAATTTGCAATTATTAGCATTTACAACAATAATTATTACTGCTTTTAAATGGGTCTTGTTAATTTGCAAAGGTGTATATTAACGTAGGGATATGGAGTATAATGAAAAGAGAAAGGGAAAAATGAAGGGAGAGGTGGAATTCGACAACATGTAGTGAGACCGCCCCCTTCCCTCCCCCCGGTCTTTGCTATGCAACCGTCATTTTAGTCAAATCCTTGTCTTTTTGTAAAGCAAATATTTATGCAGAGTGTAGCAGATTAGGATTTTTCTCATTCCTTTTTATAAGCAAAAAAAAATATCTGTTAATTTTGTCAACACAAATTAACATACCTGATTATTAAGTTTATTCAATTTCATTTGAGAGGTGAACTTTAAACAAACACTCTAGATTTTATGATTCGATAACACTCGTGCAAATATTGAAAAAGTTCGTTCATTGGTTTATTTCCACTTGACTCCCACCCAAAGGTCCAATTAGACTTCACCTCTCTGATAATTTTTATGACTAATGACCTTTCGAGGGGTACTTCAGACATAATTCCAAACGAAAAGCAAACAAGATGTTCATAAGTCCGGCAAAGTTATTAAGATATTTATGGGGCGACGAAAAAGATTGTCGAAAGCGGATGCTGATTTTCTTTGAACAATCGGGTTACGTTAGAGTAGAACGTGTTATTAGTTTCGTCGTATCCACAACAACGGCTTCTTATGTCGATTTAATATTATTTTACATGTACATTGTATATTAAGGGAAAGAAGAAATCAAGTTTTCATCGCCAAGACCTTCGTCCATCTACCATGTTGATGTGGTGACTGGTGAGCCTTGTATCAAATTTGGATATTGGGGACTTTTTAACAGGATTATGCCCGATACTGATCGTTGGCAGTCATCGCAGACCATCGATAAGTTAGAGTGATTGCAACCGTGATTTAGACCCTTATCTTTGGTACATAAATGTTATTACTATATGTTTTCGTATTGATTGTGTTATTGTTGTATTTGTATAGCCTATAATCCTTTGGTATGTAAGTAATTATATTTTAAGTAGAAGAAACCAAAGTAATATACGTTCTGATAACGGTCATGCTAGTATACAGTAATTGTTAAAAGAACCTTACAACTTTGTTCGTCTCATGGACAGAAACGTCCATTCAATCCTCAAGATGGGGAATAATTAAGACCTTGGAGTATCCAAGAAGTTAATACACAGGGAAGGGGTGCGGGCAAGGGCTGTTGGGGCGGAATGTGTCAGGGCAAAAAGCTCCGCCTATACCTCGTTGATCAGGAGAATACAGCCCCTCTTCATGTTTTTGTTATGGGGGGGGGGGGTCGTTATAATACATGTTGGCCTACTGGCTTCATGCCTATATGCTGCATACACCATAACAAAAAGCTCCAAAACCGAAGGAGGGTATACATAACATAAAGGAAAAACATTTCCTAAACATCTTGTGACTTTGCGGGTGGTTTTTATGATCCATTGCCCCTCTCAGCTCCGTGTGTTTGGTTATGCACACAATGCTATTATAAATAGTTGTAGTTGCTCTTTTATGACTGATGTCATGACGACGTTTGTGCTTGGTGCGATGGAGTGTGTCGTGAAATGATGAATGAATTATTTTCGGCAGGAACTTCTAAAGCGTTCACAATTGATACTATATTAATCACTCGCAAGAGAATAATACTAATAATGATTATTATGTGTATTATGTACGACGTGATGTAGCCTATCGTCTACTGGAATTATAACCGAGTCTATTTTAAACTACACATTTAATTATTTCAATAGTTTAGTGGGTTTTATAACAAAACACATCAAATTGGTATCAAATTAATGTGGGAGCCTCAATTTAATTCAAATTAATTAATTGGTATTAATGATGGCTGCAACCATGTCAACCTTCATACTCCTCGACAACCAGAAAGACGAGAGACAGAGACAGAGATAGAGAAATGGGGGGGGGGGAGCAGAGGTAGATAGAGAGAGGGAGAGACAGAGACAGACAGAGAGAGACAGAGACAGACAGACAGAGACAGAGGCAGAGACATACAAACATAATCAATATTGGCATGGGAAGTATAATGCAATATTGCATTTCTGAAATGCGGCATACATAATGCTCGTCAGGTTCATAAACTGAACATTTTAAATGAAAACGTCTATAATGTAGATACAAAAATGATTTATATAGACTGCCATAATACCGTCCCCACATTGTATGATAATAATAACAACGGTCGAAATTGTCATTCATGATCATACCGTCTAGACGGAGGACAATGTTTAGGGGTTCACGGGAGAGATAATTGGATACCAATTGACAAGATGAATGACGCATGCCACTATTAATGAAATGTTTTTTGATACATGACTTAATCGTTCAGAAAATTGAATTCGTTTGCTAGCCAAAATGGAATAATGCTCTCATCTAGGCATTTCAGTAATATCCGTATGAGTTCTTTATCGACTTGCAATTAATTATCATGCAAACAGTTGCGCTGAATTGTATTGGTTTATCCGTAACTAATGGAAACTGATTGAAAGTGAAATTCGTTTAACGGAATCGATTGTGAAAGATAATAATTGTTTGCCAGTACAATGATACTTTGAACATTTCATATCCAAGGCAATGGTTGGATTGGTCTAGATTTTTTCATGCGAGAGAATGATAAAAAAGAATGGTTGAAAGGAAGATGAAAACGAAAAACGATTGTGAGTTGATAAAAATCAATTATTTGCGTGATGGGCAAACGGAAATAGAACTCAACTTATTTTGTGATACTGACGGTCTCGTAGCTATAGTTATTATTTTGTTTAAGTTTTTCTTTCGTGTGTGTGTGTTTTTTTTTAAAGAGGTACGTTTAAATGTTTTCTTTTCTTTTCAATCATGAAGTCCAAGCATCCGAAACGATATCACTTTTTTCGACAGATGAAATGTATAATGTTTTCGAAGGGGTGAGGAAGAGGGTCCCGACGTCTAGTGCCCAAATATCAACTTTCCAGAAAATGTGACACTTTAAGATAGTGACAGTCCCTGTTGATGCACTGTGTATAACCATCTGATGGAATTTTATCTGTCATATACTCATTATGACATACAAACCTGAGAGACCATGCACCTCCCTGCCAAATAAGGTGTGGCGGATGTCCAAATAATGTGTGCCTTTTACAAAATATCGGCACGGTTTCTTATGCCGTTCATTAATGATGCATCCCATATTCCTTTAATTTCCTGTACACAGCATGAACAAGCCCTTCTAAACGGCGACCACCACCATAACGGTGACGACGTCGACGGTCATCACAGCGTCAATGACGAGCGGCCCGTAACGGTGGGCGAACAGGTCAGACAGGAAAGCGACTCGGCTGGCGGAGCCCCCGTCCTCGCCACCGCCCATCTGACAATGGACCAGTCGAAGGACTTCGGCGGGGGCGGCGACGAGTCGGGGGTCGGGTCCGTCACGGATAGCTCCTCCGTGGCGAGCAAGAGGAATAAGATGGGGAAAGATGATGATTCAGACCACAGCGACAGCGGCTGGGACACCGATTTAGAAATCGATGGTAAGTGCAAGAATATATAAATATTTAATGAAAATCTTATTCACAAATCGCTTTTCTGAACCTGCCTGATATTGCAATTACAAAATACAAAGTGGATTAACACCCCGGATTTACACACAGTGTACATTATTTAATTTTAATTTAGATATATCACGGAGTATTATTTTTTCCAGTTCTATATTCGGCGGGGTCCAGAAAGACATGTGGTATTTTAATATTAGTGAGATGCAGCATGCAGAGCGAATCTAAGGGGGCGAAAATGCATTTCTATTTTACTCGCTTTTTACCCCCCCCCCCCCCCCACCCCCGATTTTTCCCCCTGTGATACCTTAATTCAAGAATGCAACGTTATGAATTCACCATAATTAGTTCCTCATTCAGGGCTTCTTGGAGAAAAAAAACATAAATATAATTTTAATACATTTTTACAAAGTTCGCATGATGCATATTCCCATTAATGGCAGATTAGAAAACGAGGTGAATGTAAAATATTCACAGAAATATCTTCTTCACAGCCAACTCCAAACTTATAATTTAAAGGTTGTTTCATCCCGTTGTTAATTACGTTATTTCACAACCTGAACTGCCGCAGGAGGCCATGAACATTTTGGCGTACCATTCTTTTTATAATTTTGGAGAATTCGCATTATATTCTTCAACCGCATATATACAAACAATAGCTTTATTTTTTCTTCATCCTGATTTCGATGTACCAACGGAGGTTCTTATCCGGTCGATTAGCTTTGAGCAAATAAAACGTGGAGGGCAAACCACCATAGTAACCAAGGTTATCGACTCACAAATTGTGTCAAGTGTGTAGCTGTATATATCCAAGAGCAATTAGAGCAATGCGATTAAGGGCAGTTTGAACTCTGCGCGGTACAATTACGTTTCTGTAAGGGATATTGCAATCAATAATTATTATTTACAGTCTGACATCATTGTAACTATATCATCTGGTCAATCAATATAACCATTCTGTAGTATACACAAATGACATAAGTCAGGTCAATTTGAAAGCTGAATCAATATTTGGTTTACTATATTGTCTCCGACTGCGTAACTGATTCAATATTGATTTGCAATGATGTTTTGGCATTTTTTTATTTGAAATTGCAACATACACGTACATGAATGTATCAAACTTGTTGGATGACGATAAAAGTAAAACGACATCATTCCCATCTGCAAAATATACTCTTAGGGTTAGCGCATAGGCCGATAAGGTATGTTTTTCTTCCAAATACTGAATTCGGGCTATCATCATGATCTGGGCCCTCGTGCATAAAAGTCAAGTTGCCATGGATTGCAACTCAGATCAAAAGCAACGTTGCAATGCATAAAGACAGTTGCGAATGACATCAAATGCAACTTTGCGTTTGGTCATAATCATAAAGTTGGGTTTGAAATCAAACGCATCTCTCTATGTAATGGAATTGCAATCAAACACCAATTTGCGTTTGATTTTCAGAGCTGCGTTTAAAATGCAACTCTTTTTTATGCAAGAGGGCCCAGGGCGGCATTATGAGGGGGCAGGGGGCTAGAAATCTTATCATTTGCCAAACTTGCTGCAATTAATTGACTTATATATTAATGATAAACTGCTTGTGAGAAAGACGTTTACAAAAACAACCTAAGGCAGTTCATTTTTATTCCCATAGTTTCGTTCAATCGCCGATAGCGCAATGGAAGACGATCCATGGTCTCTTTGCACAAAACTTACCATTGATGGTAACTTTGTCATCAATGGTAACTACCATGGAAACCTTGATTTTAATTGGCTGTTGAGCCCCGTTACCATAGTAGTTGCCATTGATGGCAAAGTTACCATCAATGGTAAGTTTTATGCAACACGGCCCTGGGCTCTGTTTAAACTGTTCAAACTTTATATCAATAACAAGTTACAATAATTGTTATAAGCTATAGAAATCGTGGCATTTGATTGACCGAGATCAAGTTTGTCATAGAAATTTAGCTTTTTTTTTAAAAATTGATAAAAACTTTTATGAAACATGCAGGGCCCTGGTTCTAACGGTACCTTTCTAAAAAATTATCTTCCTTCAGAAAAAGACAAGATAGAGGAGTATGACCCGACGGGCCGGAAGACCTACAAACAGGCATGCCTGGACATCGGTGTCGTACCAGCTTCACATTTCTTACGTCACATGACGACGAGTAGGGTCTCGATGAAGCACCATGGGCTTGGTCCACACGGCGCAAAGGCCATCGCAGTGGCCCTTGTGGTAAGTTTTAAATTTACCCCCCCCCCCCATGGGCCCCATCACCAAAACACATTGCAATGAATATTAACAATGAATATTAACATTTTAAATGCAATCTTTATCGTTTAAAATGTTTAAAGCTAAATGTATTTGTGTAGATTTGCATGGACAAATATTGTTTGAAAGTTTAAAAATCGCGTAAAAACACATTAAAACGTTAAAAAAATAATGTATGATGAGTTTAATTTTAGTTGTATATGATTATAATTGTTGCATCATTCTCTTGATTCTTGTTGAATGTGTTTGTTGTCTTTATTTTCATTTGTTGTTTTTTTGTCTTGTGTTGTATATCTTAAGCGTCATGTAATAAATGGATTGAAAACTGATTATGAAAACGAAGTGAACAATCATTCCTGAAGCGATTTTGCTACTTCTACTAACGATTATAATTATGTTGGCGTGTTTGAGTATTATTTGATCGAGGATATCACATTCACTGCTGTAACAATGGGCATTGTGCAAAATAGCCAGACATCCTTCATGATAGCTTTCATCAATTGATTACAATCGTATAATGTTTAATTTCAGGCTAACACGACAGTATTAACCTTGGACTTGGAGGATAATTGGGTAGAGGGAGATGGTGGCGTGTACATTGCCGATATGCTCAAAGAAAATTGCTACATAAATGACCTTGTGAGTATACTGTCTGTCTGTCTCTCTCTCACTTGTCCTCTTCCCCTTCTCCCACTATTTTTTTCTTCTTCTCTATTTCGCTCTTTTCCGTATTATTTGTCCAGTTTCTGTCTATTTCATAATCTCCGCCTTGGCTTTAATAATTATATATCTCTCTATCTCTCACTAATTATGCATATCACTTGTATCCATATCTGCGGTTCTGCGTTTTGTTCTTGATTTATTTCTCTTTAATAATGTATGTCCCTTTATTCTTATTACGATTACTTTTCCCTCCCTTTTCCATTCTTTCTGCCCACTGTTTTCATTTCACTCACTCTCTTTCGCTTGCACATTAAATTCATCCATTCCCCTCTCTCTTCATATCTCTGCAATTTTACTCTTACAATTATTTTCTGCCTGCCATTCTCTCCGTTAACAGTTTATGCTACTGCTCGTTTCAATGCTCTCTATATTCTTTTAAATCTCTCCTCATTTCCTCCCTAATTTGCCTTTCCATTGAGGCCTATATACCATTAGCACACTCATGGATTTATATTTCATGGCAAAAAATAATTACGAGTATGATCATCCATACAATAAAAAAAAAAGACTCTGCGTTATCATTCAGTATCGGTTCGTCTCGGTCCATGAATTTCCGAGTCGGGAAGTATGAAGTCTGTGTTGCTTTTTGTTAGGAAAGAGATCCCACCCTCCCGTGTGATAATGATCAATGCCATAGCAAGGGGGGGGGGGGGGGTGGTGTCCTATTATTCATTAGTGGAACCGGTGCCCCCGGAAGGCAACAACAATAATCACAATAAAAAAAGAAATTGGACCCCCACTGGGCCATTACTTATATTATGGATATTATGACCGTGATAATGTTCATCAATGATGGGGTATAAGTTTTCCATTTCATCCCCACGCAAATCTCATAACATGAAAAGCTTATCCAAATAAACAGAAACATTTTGTAGCTGTCGTACACATGTTGATATATTTCTTTCAACATCGAATTGGCCCTTTATGTATCGTCGTTGTCATACTGTGTTTTGTCTGGTATTCTTCTATTTCCCAGAATCTTGCCGAGAATAAAATAGGATCAAGAGGAGCCAAAGCGATGGGAGAGATGTTACTAGACAACACAAACCTGAGACGGGTTAACCTATCTGGTGAGATACAGACCATTATCACTTCAATCATTCCAATTAGAAAGAACACAATGGCAGTGTCCCATTGTGTGAAAATAGTGAATATGAATTGTGTTCACAATCATTCTCGCTATCGTGACGTGTTCCATATCAATTACACTGTGGTGAGTACACACTCATTTTCTGTGGCCACAATATGTGAGATGTAGCCTCGTGTAAAACTTAGTGTGAACACATTGTTTCACACTCTGAACATGTTCAAACTCAGATTTAAGATCACATGTGGATGTGAACACACTGTGCCACGCTGTGTATGTATTCTAAATCATAGTGTAAAAACTGAGTGTGAACATGGTATGTCACACTGTGAACATGGTCAAAAGAAAGATAGAGATCATTATGCAGATGTGAACACAGTGCTCTGATCTCAAACCCATTGCTGACAGTAACAAGATTTTCTGTGGCACACTGTGTTGCATGATGAAAACGATGTGAATACATTGTATTCACACTGTAGACTGAAAACGTTTCAGATGTAATATAGACTTAGCAATCCACACAGGGTGTGGTTCTGTGTTCTCATGAAGATGTCAACACGGTATTTGCTCACACTGTGGTCACACTGTGGCGCACTGTGGTGCACATAGTGAACGTGGTGTGAATACAGTGGATTGATGTTCGAAATCAATTCTATGATCATTATTTGATGCATACACACTGTGTGAGTCTTCATGGTTACAGTGTGTCTTACTATAGTACAGGCGCGGATCCAGGGGGGGGCGAGCGTGCCTTGGCCCCCCCCCCCCCCGCAAAAAAAAAAAGGGAGAGAGAGAGAGAGAGAAGGAAAAGAAGGGAAAGAGGAGAGAAAGGGAAAAAAAGAAGAGGAAGAAGAAAAGAAAAGAGGGAAGAAGGAGATCGGGGGGGGGGAGGACTTGCCTGCCCTCCACCCCCCCTCCCCTAATAAAAAAATAAAAGAGAAGGATGGAAAGGGAAAGAAAAAAGACAAAGAGGAGATAAAGGGAAGGACAAAATAGGAAGAAGAAAAGAAAAGAAGGGGGATATCAGTTGCAATTTTCCCGCCAACAAGTTGTGGATCGAGGGGGGGGGGCAAAAGACCCTAGCCTCCCCCCCCCCCGTCCCCGCTAAAAAAAGAAAGAAGGAAGGAAAAGGAAAAGAGGAGAGGTAAAAGGGAACAAAAAGAGGAAGAAAAAAAGAAAAGGGAGAAAAGAAGCGGAGATCAGTTGCGGTTAATCCCGCCAACAATGTGTGGAGCGGGTTGGGGACCAAAATGACCGTGCCCCTCCCCCCCCCCCCCCAGCAAACCTAAAAGAGAGATAAGGAAGGGAAGGGAAAGTGAAAGAGGATAGAAAGGGAAAGGGAAAAAAAGAGAATGAAGAAAGGTAAGGGATATCAGTTGCAATTTTCCCGCCAACAAGGTGTAGATCGGAGGGGGGGGGGGGGGGGGGGGGGGGGGGGGGGGGGGCACTGGCATACTGATAGGGGAGGGGGGGGGGGGGGTTGGAGAAATAAAATTCAAACGTGGTTTATTTATAATTCCATAACGGTGGTTAACAAATAATGCTGAAATGAGATAATTTTCCTCACTTCATGCGTTTGTTGGAAAATGACAAATTCCTAAATTTACAGCCAGGCAAGAAAATGCTTCTTTATGAGGCCTACATATCAGGGCCCGCGGAACGGCGGGGATCGGGATCCTCGAGCACCTCCCCCCACACTTTCTTTGAAAAAGTATATTAAAGAGAAATAGAAAGAAAGAGAGCGAGAAAGAAAAAATAGTTAACTGCCAGTGTCACATTATAATGGGGAATCAAAATATGCTCATCTGACCATGATTAAAATTAATGCCTAAAATCCTAAGGGCTCTGCCCCCTGGATTCCACCTAGGGCCCTAAGGCGGGCCCTTAGATGCTCATATGACGGTCATTTAATGCCTAAAACCCCTGATTTCTGGGGCTCTGCCCCCTGGACCCCACGCCAAATAGTTTCCTGCTAGTGTCACAAATAATAAGGTATCAAAAATGCTCATCTGACCGTAATTAAATGCCTAAAACCCCTGAGCTTCTGGGGGATCTGCCCCCTGGAAGAGGACGTAGGAAGAAAAGGGAATAGACAAAGAACATATTTGAAATTCAGACAAGGATTAAGAGTCGAGAACGGTACGACGAATCTTCCTCTTTCTCTAATGATTTAATGAAAAGTAAAAGCTTCCGCGCTTTGCGCTGGTGGGGGAAACTAAATTATTTTCGAGAGCGGAACAACGAATCGTCTTCATTCTCTAAAAATTTAATGAGACGTCGAAGCGGGGGGAAAACTGAATTTAGACAAGGATTAAGAGTCGAGAACGGTACAACGAATAGTCTTCTTTCTTTAATGATTTAATGAAACGTAAAAGCTTCCGCGCTTCGCGTGGGAGGGGGGAAACTGAATTTAGACAAGGATTAAAAGTCATAACGGTACAACTAATCGTCTTATTTCGCTAGTGATTTATTCAAACGTAAAAGCTGTATTCAGAGGAGGATTATTTTCGAGAAGGGTACAACGAATCGTCTTCTTTCTCTAATGATTTAATGAAACGTACAAGCTTCTGCGCTTCGCGCGGGAGGGAGGAGGGGAAAATTGAATTCAGATGAGGATTAAGAGTCGAGAACGGTACAACGAATCGTCTTCTTACTCTAATGATTTAATGAAACGTAAAAGCTCCGAGCTTTGCGCGGGAGAGGGGGATGAATTAAGACGAGGATTAAGAGTAAAAAACTGTACAACGAATCGTCTTCTTTTTCTAATGATTTAATGAAACGTAAAAGCTTCCGCGCTTCGCGGGGGAGGGGAAAAACTATTTTCAGACGAGTAGGCACGTACAGAAGGGGGGAAGGGGTTAGGGGGTTGACCCTACCCCCTTTGGGTTTTTTTATGTGTGTATTTTGGAGCAACCCCCCCCCCCCCCCTTTTCTGTGATTTTTTTTTTTTTTTTTTTTTTTATTAAAAAAATAAAATAAAAAAATATGCCAATGGCTGACCTAAAAAGGAGACCTCACCCCCCCCCCCCCAACGGAACAAAATGTCAAATTTTCAAATTTCGAGACCAAAAAAAAAAAAGTGTCCTCTTCCCCCCCCCCCCCCCCCCCCCCCCCCCCCGCTTATTTAGCGGCTGGCTGAGTCGTTTTTTTTTCGGACCAAAAAAAAAAAAGTGGGCCCCCCCCCCCCCCCTAAGAAATCCTGGATCCGCGCCTGCTATAGTACATCGTGTAAAAAGATGTTACACGTTATGTATACTGTCAACAGTGTGTTCAAGATCAGAGCTGTAATCATACTGTGATGCATACACACCATTTTACAGTGGCCAATGTATCAAATTATTACATTATGTGAACACAGTGTGTACGTAGCATCAACACTATGAATGCATTAAAAAAAATCTTCAATATACGGTGGTACAAAATGTAACACTGGTGAATAGTGTGGAAAAGGTAATTTTCCCAATATCAACACTTGTAGTCAATGTGCATGGTGGCAAAGCTATTTCCTCCCGTTTATGCGGCAGGTTCCAACCAAAACTCTTCATGAAAATTATTGACCAAGCAGTAATAAAATGTCTTGATATTTTTTAACCCACCTATAATAATAAGTGAGAAATGTTCAAATGTGACTGGGCCCATGTTTGATAATCTCAATCTTTGGCAAATTTGGTCCAACTTTGATTCCCCAACCCCACCTATTTATTCTTTCGTGACTCCAGGCACTATGAGCTATGTGTTGCATATTTGTGTTGAAAAAGGTGTTCATGCATCCAACGACAGAATGCAGCGATATAGTGTGGCTTTCACCTTACGAAATGAAATGGCTCATGATATAAGAATTCATAATTTTTGATAGTTTGATTAGATTAAGTGCATCTCATTGTTAGATTCTTTTCATGGCTTTTGAATGGATGACAGGCCATCATATTAATTGTCACCTCTTGATCATTTTTCTGTCTATGTTTTTTATATATATATATATATATACGATGAAGGATTTCTATGAAAGGTTATATGGATATCAATTAACCTAATTGGCAATTTTCCAATGTCTTTTTGATTAGACCCATACTTCTTTTCAATGACAATACCGGTATGCTGAAAAATATTAATGCAGTTGTGATGTAATTGAGGTAAAAACATAACTTTTCTTGCAGAGAAATATATCAGTATCAACAGACTAATTGAAGGCTGATCCAGTTGACTGCATTGTTCAGTTTTATGGATTAAAATAAGGACGGTTTTTGTGTTTATTTGCCATGTTTATTGAATAATGATAAAACATGAACGATTCTGTCACGTTTTTGCCACTATTTCTCATTTTTGTTTGTTTAAATGTCTCATCGTTTCATCTTATAAATAATTATCTGGATTGGTTTTAGATATGCCTATCACCATCTAATATATGCCTCAGTATATTCCACCCGATGGCAAACTTATTAATTTACATTTCAACTTTGTTTATTCTTTTCTCCATTGCAGGTAACGAATTTAAAGACAAAGATGCAAATGAATTCACAGAATCATTTAAGGTGAGTTATAGAAAAAATTGGTAAACAAAATTCTTATTTGAAAGTTAGATAATACCTGCATGGTTGTTGAATTGCTCTTGGATGATTATTGTTAAATATCATGATTCTTGTGCATTGCATCTCAAGATTGACTAAGGCCCTATTCAAGGCCCCTGTCGTCCAAATCGATTGAAACTCTTTGTCTTCAATCACAATTTAAAATCACCTATATGTCCTGACTTGAGCCTTATCCCAATGTGAACTAAGTTATGATCGATTCAATAAATCTTCCTGTTGTTGATTTTGTTTTTACAGTCAAACTACAGAATAAAAGAGCTCATCCTGAGTCACAATGAGTTTGGAGAGGTGGGAGGAGAGATCTTAGGACATGGTATAGGTGAGTCTTGTCTCTGTTTTAAAAATCAACTATCAGTAACCCTTGAAAACAATTTTCAGAATGAAAAGGAACAAAATGAAATTGTTAATTTTGTATAAATTAAAAAAAGTTACCAAATAGCTTCATAATCGTAGTGACTCCAATTGAAGAAACAACTTGTAAAAAGTTTACGATTGTGATAGGATATTTCAAATATATGAAGGCAAGAAATTATAATCAGTGTTTTCTTTCTTTTATCCTTAAATAAAACATATTCATTACATAGTTGTTTTTATAAACTAACCGCAAAATGAATCTTTGATACTTCCTTCTTGTCTAGGTGCAACGGAATCAATAGAGCATTTAAATCTCAGCTGGAATCACTTAAGGAGAAAAGGGGCAATAGCCATCTGCAGAGGCTTGGCGGTAAGATAAGAAATGATTAGCAGAGCACTTTGATTTCTTACTTTGATCAACTGGAATGAATTAATGAAACAGTTCTTGCGATAATTATGTCGCTATCAAACATGGAAGACTTCTATTTGCATTGATGTATAAAAACCAAGACACTGTGAAAGATGCTTGTGTGCAGTATATATGGTGATAATGTCTTCAATTTGTACTGACCTTATATTAGATATTGATATTGATGTAGCCACGTCCTTATGATTAGACATACATAATTACAACTGGATGCAATATATATATATATATATATATATATATATATTTATGTATACCAACTTTGGAGACAAAAATGTTTAGATCTGACAAGCACCTTTACCCATTTATATTGTGATAAAAAGGTTGTGTCATGGAAATTATACTGCACCCCAACTATCAAGAGCTTTAGCCCAGGTTGAAGTGAATTGGTTATTTATTTCAATAGGCAATTAGGCATGATGGCTTAGTGAGAAAATGGTTGTTTTTGCAACTGCCAGCTAGGTCCTGTGTTAAAAACCTATATGATGCTCTTGTGTCTTTGGTCAGTGATTAATGCTCCATAATGGAGTGCCTCAGAAAGAAGATAGTTCCCCTTGTTGCTTATCCACTTACATGTAGGTACAATGAAATCATCAAATATCCTTCCTTATCTCTCCACCATCATCAGGAAAACTTGAGCATCAAGCGTCTGAACTTGTCCTGGAATGGCTTTGGCAATGAAGGTGCATTGGCTATGGCAGAGGCACTCAAGTTCAACAGCACGCTGCAATGGCTCGACATGAGTAACAACAGGGTCACCAATGAGGGCGCTTTCATGCTGGCCAAGGGTGTAGAAATCAACGACAGTATCAAGGTCTTGAAGGTTAGTTCAGCCATTAAAATCTGTGTTACCATGGTATCATTTAACAATGCAGTGCATACAGGGACACCAGTAGGTTTCACCAAATGAGCCTGAAACGAGACTCTGAAGTATTGGAGCACTCATGTGTTGTTGTACAATTATGTAGGATGACAAAATGCCTGAAGGGGAAGGTGTCAGGACCTAAAATTAGGCTTTGGCCTGAAAACTGGCTTCCCTAAATATGGAAATTAAAATGGAATTACTTTGGCCTCAAAAAATCATCTACGGAACAAGTCGCCAAGATCTGCAGAATAAGATCACACATTACGTATCATATTTAGAAACCTATTAAAAACCAATTTGAAGAATAGGAATAGAATAAGTATAATGTACTCCAAATTCTGCTGGCATGATCATGTAAAATCTCCCAGGATTGACAGATTATCAGGCAGTGTCTACAATTAAATGTAAAGCACTGAACAAAGTAAGAACTTGTCTTTTAAAAAAATCTTGCAAGGAAGTCAATAGGCTACCAATACAGGTGAAACTAAAAAAACTAACATATTAAAAAATATATATTTTTCACTTCTTATTAGAATCCATATTATTATTTCATTATCCGTTCTTGTCATTTTTATTCCTCTCAGCTTGGTCAGAACCCTATCACTGCAGCAGGAGCCATGGCAATACTAATTGCAATCAAGAACAATTCAAACACTGTACTAGAACTACTAGACCTTGCAGTAAGTGCATTGGGTGATTTCAAGTTTGGTGTTAGTGTTAGTGTTAGTGTTTAGAGCAGTCAAGAGCTCTTAAATCGAGCGGAGAAATTGCTGATGAAATTAAGAGCCCGATACCGATATCAAAATCGATAGCTTAACACCAGCCGTGACGTCACCACATACTTGATTTTACGACGATGATTTAAAAATAGTTCATCAAAACTAAAGATATCATGAAAAGTACAGAATAAATTTACACCTATTTCTCTGGTCTTAAAAAATAACTAATTTTACACGAAAGAATATATGAATTACCTGTTTCACATATTTTTATTTGATCGTCAGACAATAAATTGGCGTCGTTCGTGCGTTGACTGTGTGCGGGTACAACACTAACACCGAACTGGAAATCAACATTTGCTTAATCCCTAGGGGCTAGTGTTAGTGAATAGGACATTTGTACATAAAATATTAAGACCAGCCACAAAGGTCGGTTCAGCAGACGACAATTTTGCAAAATCGATAACACTAGCTACCGGAAGTTGACGATATTCAGAGGTCAAAGCCTTAACACCAGCTCGGTGTTAGTGTTTATTAAACACTAACACCAGCCTTAAACACCCAACTTGAAATCACTCATTGTCTCAATACATATCATGTATGATTTCATATGCTCAGTTCTTTGAAATGTAACGAGAATAACAGACATTGGTATTCATCAGATGTAAGTTGTTTTGCTTGCTGTCCTATGACAGGATTTTCCATGGCATAATATTTAGCTCCTGCACATTTCCTGTCCCTTTCATTTAGGTAATTTATTTGCATTTTTGAATTTATTATTAAGTGTAAATTTAAGAGAATTCTGTGAGAACAGTATCTTCTTTCTTAGAGATAACCTATAAAACCAAAGTTACTATTCACATGGAAAGGTAGACTGTTCTTGTTCTAAACCTGTTGAATCCACTGTCAGTATAACACATGTTTATTTTCCATGGACTCCAGCACATGTCATCTCAGATTTGGTATTAAAAAATGAGTTAACAGACACCTCTAAATTTGTCTGTAGAGGTGCTCTACATCATCTTGATTAGAATATCTTGCTTTGTTCTACTATGATCTTCACAAGTTATGCTTTCATCTATTCCCCAGGATATCACAGTGAACAAAGACTGCGTGAAGCTGTTGACTGAGCTGAAAGAGGTTCGTCCAGAGTTCCTGGTCGCCTACCAGTCGTCCGTCGGCCAGTTTGAGAAGCCTCCCGAGAAGGAGCCTGACCCAGTGAAGATGCTCAGGGAATTCATCTCGGCCAACAACCTGAGGGTGTGGGACCTCTTCAAGACCTACGACAAGGACAAGAGCTTGACGGTCACCCGGGAGGAATTCAAGAAAGGGCTGGTGGTTAGTCCATCTTTCTTTGATTTGAACTAATTATGAGAAGTTGGGAAAACTTTGTAAATACTTTGTGATTTCAATAAGTAATCAGGCATTCCACAAATGACATTCATGGAGACATTCATGTTCCACTTTTCCACTTTTCCAAAAGACTATGATTCATGAGAAAGAGAGAGCAATTTCTGTTCACGCTTTCCATCTTTGACTGGATGGATTAACTTTCAAACTCATACAATTTGTTCTAACCTATTCTGTACATTATTTGAATTTAACAGATTTCAATGCCCCTTCATCAATTTGCAGGATGAATTTAAAAAAACATAAAATATTATATGTTTTAACCTATATTTTGAATACTCCTCTCCCTGCAGAGCTCGGGTCTTCAGATGAAGCCACATCTCCTGAACAGACTGGTAGAAACGTTGGACAAGGATGGAGATGGAGAGATCGATTACGGGTAAGACACCTCTCCCCATCTTCCCAGGTTGTCCTATGAAGCATTGCTATTGATCCCCTTTGATCTCAGGGTCGTTCAATCAGTTGCAAGCTTACCATTTCCTGTCTCTCATGTACAGAGTCATAATTGATATCATTTCATTTGTTGGGATCTATCGCAACTCTTTTGAAGTTTGAACGACAGGGCCCTGGTCTTTAAAATCCTCAAATGTATTTTTTTTGTTTTACCCTCAAGGAATTCTCTACTAAATACTATCTGTTGGGATCCAAGAAGGCATTATCTCTGTTTTGGGGTTATGCGTCAATGCCCTTCTGGCTCTCACCAGATGATCTAGGAGTTTGAACTATAGTACTTGGACTCCACATATTATGTGTAACTAAAGTGAAATGCCCATCCTGGGCATGATATTTGTTGCCCCCATTATAAAAAATGTCAGATTTTGTGTTGCTCCAAACATTAGAGCAATCTGCAACCTCAACATCACAAGATATAATACAATTAACATTACCCCCCAAAAAAGAAAAATCACAATTTTTTTCGGTTATGTCTTTCTTGCATTTATCTTTATTTCACCATAATTTAATAAGGGTAGGAATGTGTATCCAAAAAAAAAATATTTACAAGTAATGTACATTGAGAGAAAAAATCAGTCACATATATACACAGATTGCAGGATTAATATCAAATCAAAAGGACACATAATGCATAGGCTTCCTACGATCATCTTTGTGTGTCTGACAAATGGGATCCTGCCAGACGCATAATGTTTTCTATTAAATTAAATACACGCCTTACAAAAAATATGTAACACCCCCCCCCCCCCCTCTCCCTCACCTACAAACAAAAAATACAAATGAAATCTTTATAAATTAACAAAGAGCTAATAACGAATGTTGCTTGCAGTGGACAGACCACCCCATGCTACCTTGTTGTGACCAATTTTCTATAGGCGAAAATTATGTTCATCTTCCTATTAGAACAAGTTTCTATTAAAACCATCAAATTTTGTTATAAAATCAAGATTAAAAAACCCTCAAATATTGCACTTTGATGAGTGATGGAAGAGGGGCTATGGATAACACATACAGCACACAACAAATATAAACTACTACAAACAAAAATGTTCACGTTTTTTTTGTTAATACATGAATATCACCACTGATAAAAAATGATTGTGGGATAGTATCCATCTTTTACTACAAAACCAGAAAGTGTCATGACTGAAACTTTTGCAAGTTATCGAGCATGCCCATTTTGCACAGCAAGAAACTTTCGCGAATTGCACAAATTTAATGTTGTGTTGGTTGTGATGCAATAATTTCACAGCATGAAACCTTTAAATCTAAACCACTTGCAAAATTTGCACATATTTTCATTCATATGAAAGTTTCTGGTTTTACAGTATTTGATTTCATTTTATTGGGCATAATCCTACATCACACCCGTCCTTTCATGTTAGAATTTTCATTGGAAGAAAGTGGCATATTTGTAATCCCAATTTTCAAATTTTATTCATTAAGGCATTGGGAGTTTAGTTAAAGAGCATTTCCATAGCCCAGGGGACCACCGAACCAAATACATCCTATCTATCTAATGAGAATCTTTACTTTAATCGGACGTAGGTCTAGATAGAAGGTAGACTTGGCAACATGTCAAAAATAACACTTTGATGTATTAATAGTAAAAAATGTTCAAGACATGAGTGCTATACAAGGCCCCACTATTATTATTACTGTAACCCTTCAATTTCTTTGTTTTTAACAAAGGGGAATTCAACAAAAGAGAAATTATCAATTCTAGCATGTATCGCAAAGATATCAAAGGAACTTTTTCTTCCAAAATTGTCTCAGAATTCAAACTTTCATCTCCAATTATAACATTTTGAGGGTCATCTTCTTTCATATCATCACGAAATAAAAAACCTTAATGTTCAAGAAATGAGGGACATCACATTGTGTTCAGCTGCTTATTTACTCTATGTGACGATTTCAATGAATTTCTGCTTCAATTTTGCTCTTCTCTCTTCTTCGCAGTGCGATCATTCCTCGAGAGCAGATAAATGAGCTGTTCATGATAGAAGACCCAGTAGCTAGCAGTGTGCTCAAAAGATAGGCCATAGAGTTCACAGTAGCTCGCAGAACTCGTAGACATAGTATTTGAGGCTCTTGTATAGGCCAGGGGAACCACAAAGCTGCAAAATGTGAATAAGTTCCAAAAGCTGCCGATCCCTTGCTCCCTTTGTGAGAAAATCAAGAGTGACTCTGAAATGACAAATGAAAAATAATAGTTTAAATATCTATTAAATGGAAAGCAATGTTCCTATTCACAGAATTAATGAGATCTACATGAATTCATTCATCAAGGTTACTTAAATTCCGTTTGCATGTGGAACAATTATATTGACAGAAAGATTAGATCAGGAATGGAGTTGCTTTCTGTCATCTGATCTTATCCATCAACATAAGATGGAGCTGATGCATAATTTCATTTTCATATTTATAAAATTTATATTGTCTTTTTTTCAGTTAATGTACAATTCCAGTTTCATGTTTGTATTATTTATATTGTCTTTTAATAAATAAAACATTTTTTTCTCTTACATTTGTTTTTTCATCTCATCTTCCTTGCACTTGTCCATTTGTGTGTGTCCTGTCTCATTAACTTTCCATTTACTCTTTTATGTTATTTTTCACTTTGGGGTGCTTTGACTTCATCCTTCCTCCTATTGTGTTCCACTCTGTTCATTACTTTCATTTTCATTCAAACATTGTACCTTCTATCATATTATATCTACTGTACGTCTTTACATGTTCACTCAAAACGATCCTGTCACTACTCTTGGCTATACATTGGTACATCCTATCCCATATATCTGTCCTCTACCTCACAACACATACACTGGCTACTACAGAGAGCTTAAGATTGGTCACAACGAGATGATACAAGCCGAACGCGATGAGCGCAAGCGACAGATGGAACGGGTGCAGAAGAACAGGAGCAACCCGCTCTACAAACCCGTCGCTGAACAGTTCCAGGACCTGAAACCCAAGCAGGTCCGGGACTCACTGTCACCGGATCGGCTCCAGAAGCTGCGCTCCACCATCAAACCCGACACAACTCAGTGGACCTCGCGGGGGAGGAAGGCGGATACCGTCAGCGCGGGGATAAGGTCTCTGGACGCCACAGTGAACTTCACCAGTGAACTTGAGGAGAAGTACATGAACGAGGAACAGTGGTTGAGTAAGACCTTGGGGCCGGCATCTAGGACCCCTAGCCCTGGTGGGCTCAGCACGAGAGCCCCTGGTACCAGGGCCAAGAGTCCTAGGTCCAAAACCCCAATGAAGTCACCAAGGACTAATAACCTGAACGTTACACTGTGAGGAAGCCCAGATGAACAAATTTGAAAGGAAACTCTGGTCTCTTGAAAAGCAAGAATAAATCGAATTTCATGATTCTATGCAATAACGATGATGAAATATGCATGATAAAGTGCCATTGATTGGTTCATATGTTGTATTGGTATATTATGTGTCATACATCCTTCCAAGACCTTGTGTGCAAAAAAACTTAAGGATTGCCAGGTAACATTCTTGCAAGAAAGTTGCATTGCAAACAACTGCCAATCAGTTGCAAATTTTGCTCATCCTCCAAATTTATTGCAAAAATTGTGCTTGATCTGCAATTAATTGCAAGATTTGCGCTAGATATTTGCAGCACAACTCTTTCTTGAAACATGATTTTGTTGCAAATTTGCAATTAAACGCCAGAGTTGCACTTAATTTTGGGAATTGCGTTTAAATGCAACTTTCTTGCAACGCCCCATTAGTCATGGAAGCCTCAGAGATGTTATTGGGCAAATTCAAGCTATTTGCTCCAAATGTTACCAAACATATCTAAGAATGCAGTTTATCTGATGATTGTATTTGGTTAATGTCACTACTAAAGCTTCAGTTGAATTGGGAGGGCTAATCAGGGTCCTGTTTCATAAATCTTGTTATCAATAACAAATGCTAAATTTCTATGACAAATTTGCTCTCAGCCAATCAAATGTCGCGATATCAGTAGCAGCAATTACAGTTATTGGAACTTGTTATTGATAAAACGTTTTATGAAACAAGGCCTTGATGTCAATTTATATTCAGAACCCAAAATTACTTTGTAATGTATGGATAACAAATGGCCAAATAAATGTAACTTGGACTAGCCCTATCAGTGATTTAAGGCCACTATACATGTAGATGTGTCTATTTTAACCCCTTCATGGCAACCATATTTTGGACAACAGTCATAAATGAACTTCCAAAAGTGAAATTTTTATGCAGAATACTTTGTTTCATGAATTATGCATAAAATATCTGTCATGGATATAAATTGCACTTTTTTGTCCAAACACATTGTTCAACTTAGTTAATTATGTCATCAAAGGGTTTCAAATAAGAATTCAATTCCTTTGTGTCTGCCTTGAAGTGTTTTGTCCACTAACCAATTTCACTTGTTGAAGTGTGAATCACAGTGAAAGTATTTGACTACAGAAAAGGCCTCATTACAAATACACCCCCTCTCACTCTCTCCGTCTTTTCCCAGCAACATTCCCTATTTTTTTGGATAGAGTATTATTGTGCCTCACCTGATACCTCATTTCGGAATCAATTCTCAGGACATTCAGCTACTCCCTCCCTAACCTTACCAGTACAAGACACGCAGGTATTATGCCCCACCCCCTCCCCTCCTAACATGTGACTGGTATTAAAGTAAAAGCATTGTATATTACCCGACGTATATGAACTCAATAGATAGGGTTAGCCCATTTTCAATTGAATATCAATTTGCAACTGAAAATAAGAATACCAACTCAAGGTAGATTCTAGTTTATTTAGGAACTTGTTTAGATATCATGAAACTAGATATTTTGTATAATAGAATATATAATCATTATGAAGATACTTGTTCAATTTTATGTGACAACTCTGTCATCTTGTATCACAAGTGCCTTCAGTGTGTAATCTACATATATTTATATTTCTTACAAGATATTTATTATATCATGACAATTAGTAGATTGTAGATTGAATGTACATAATTTCAATGATACTTTATAATTGAATGTATATCACTAAAACTATTTGTATATTTTTGTTTTTCATTTATATAACATGAATTATGTCCGACGAATATATTCTATTACATGTGCTCGTATGAAGAAGAAAAATTCCTTAACACTTCATATAAAACTATGCAAACTTGATCACAGTGGTTTGTTGTCATTATTCTGTGTCACTTGTTTGGGTAGAGTTTTTCATCACATTCATACCTAGAACGGTGCAGTGGTAAAAAAAAACTATTGTCAGGTGCCCTATTGCCTTCCCAATGTTTTTTCTTCTTCATTTTCTTCTTATTAAACAGTAAGTGATTAAATAATCTGACACCAATCTGAACATCATGGGTTATGGCGCCATGAACAAAAACTGCTGAGTAAACAAAGTGGCTCAATTGAACTGAAGATTATTCACATTTCTGTTTCTTATTCAAACATAGAGTTGTTGTTGTAGAACACTAATGTCCTTTGGCAAGACATTGATCTACATTTGCCACTCTCAACGCGAGTGATGTAAATGGGTACCTGCTGGGGTAATCATTTCCAAATTTGTTATGGCGCCTTGAGCATCCCCTTGGGGTGGATATGTGCACATTATAAATGTTATCACTATAATTACTATTATTATGAAGGAGTAAGGATTTTAGGGCCTTCGTTGATTTACCTGCAGCTACTCAAGATGTTGCACAACTAAGAGACTGAAAATCAGACAGAGACTTAATATCCAGTTTACCACAGATTCTAAATATGCCAAAACTAAATTCATATTTCCAAACATAATTTAGCAATTTTTAGTATGTCAGGAACTACAATTTAAAAGGGTATTCATGACTTTAAATACAATAAAACCTGTTTTAGCGACCACTTTTATAGAAAGGACACGTTTGTGTTTCCATTGACCACGGTTTCTCTATGAAACATGTACTAAAGGAAACCACCTGCCTATAAAGACTTCTTTTCTTGTCTCCCTTGAGTGGTCTTTATATACAGGTTTGACAGTATGTGTATGTTAGCTTTAATACTTACCATGATCAGTCCATAGTGAAGAGTCTGGAAGCAATGTCATCTATCAGCCAGTTGACACCATAGAGTAGATTTTCACCCGTTACTGCGCTACATCCCAGAATCAACCAATGATGGGTCTTGATGTTATCAAGTTCTAACGCCTTGAGATGAACACAAAAGAATTATGAATATGAAATCAAAGTCATGCTATGCTAAACAGGAGTATTACAAAAACAATGACAATTATTGATGATCAAGGACTGTGTTTGCAGATATTCAAGACCTTTGACACCTAAAGCTATTCCATGCATCACAATTTTATTCATAAGAATAATGTAGTGCAACATCTTGACACACTTCACTCTTGAGTGAGAGCGAGACATTTAAAAGGATTCTCATCTTGTGACTTATCGACTCGTAATCTACGAGTTCTTTATCTTAACATCCACAATGATTTAACAAAGATATCTGGTAGAATATAAGGTACGTATTGGCCAACATATTGCCGAAAAATTTATTTTGTATTCATCAAATAGAAAAGCCTTTCAAATGGCAATGAAGTTCACATGCCCTAATGAGACAGAAAGTTGTTGTTGTTGTTGTTTTAGTTTTAAGGGCGTGTGTCATTCAATTATGAATATTTACGCCGAATTCAAGTTTTTTAATAATTTTAAATAATTTTAAATGGAAGCAAAACAAAAAGGAGGGGGAAAAAAAATTGACGCTGTCCAATTTTTTGCATTTTGCGGAGATTCCAGACAGGCTGTCTGGCAGTAATTTATTTTGAATATTCTTTTTCAATTCAATTCATTTATTTATTCGTCTTCATAAAAAATACATCAAAAGGTAAAGTCATAAAAATATTAATAGAGACGGAGGAAAGGAAAGCTATAAAAATACAAGCGATGAGCATTGAAAGGTGTAGCTCCCCTAAAAGGAAAATCATAAAGGGGTAATACAAAATAAATACAAGATTAAAAAGTGTTTATCCTAACCTCACACACAAATGCACATTTGATTAGGTTCTCTGTAACATTCCCTCAGCAAAAACCAATCTTAATCTTACCTCTCTGATTTCATCAGCAGACAGAGCACCTGGCAAATCTTGCTTGTTAGCAAAGACTATCAGCGTAGCACCATTTAACCTCTGCAAAAAAAGAAATGTGACCATCATAATACACCATGTACCAAAATTTCTATAAAATATATTATATGTTAATAATTAGAGAGAATTGGACAGCTAAAGAAGATATATAAGTAATAACTTAGTTTGCATGCTTGAAGCTAACACTAAAAGTAGCCTGTATTTTAGTGTAATCAAACATAGAGTTGAAATCAAATGAGGCCCATTCAGACACTGCTTCAAACAGACGCACAGTATTTAAATTACAGAAGATAAGTCAAGTGTATTGCACTTTATTCTTCTGAATCGTATAACACATAAATCAGTGAGTCCTTTAATATAGTGGCCATCGTTGTGTGCAGCTAAGTCCCCCCCCCCCCCCCCCAAAAAAAGCCTCTTGGCATTCATCTATGGCAAAGTTTTGCCACTGCATTTTTTCAGAGGTGGTTTACTATACCGTATTATGTTTGTACATGTTTTTTATGGTCGCATACCTCCTCTAAAAGCAGAGAATGCAGCTCCTGTTTGCAGTCCATCAATCTCCTCCTATCAGCACTATCCACTACCCAGATCAATCCATCTGTACTCTCAAAGTAGTTCCTCCAGTAAGAACGGAGCGACTTCTGACCACCTACATCCCATATGTTCAGTTTAAACCTGTGGGTACAGAGAAGTTTACAACAGTCGTAAGTGGAGTGTCATGGCTACACATGAAGCAATTACATGTATCTACCGGTACTATATTTGAACAAGGCATCTTACAAATAAATCAATCACTTATTGATCATTACTTGTATCAGGAATGTGTTTAATTTATAAGCAGACTCGGTAGATTATCCCAAGGTGACTTAATGCAGGAAATTTGTTACATTTCTAATAAGAAGAAAAAAAATAAAGGAAACATGTAAATTCCTAAATGTTTCTATAAAAACCAAAGTGGCTACATCTTGTATATATATAATGCTAAGTTACCAGTACACTCAATCTTTTCAATGTAGATCAACATAAAATTATATGACCCTTTTTTACATGTAGAATAATAACAGAATCATCAGAATTTATGTACTCATATCAGATTATCATCTGCAAAACATAAATCTATCATTTCAATGACCTTTCGACACTTGACTGATATTAATTTAAGAAAAAGAATGTTAAAAACAAAAATGAATAAAGTTACCCATTTACATTTAAAATTAGCATTTTTTACTTTCAGGTACTGGATCATTGTTATCATTATTGATATTTGAAATGTTATTTAAAAAACCAATAGAAGGGATACAGTTCTACTAATTTACCCTTTATGCTCTAATGTCTTGATGTTGAAGCCAAGCGTTGGAGATATTGTGTTGATATCTTCTCCATTGAATTTCTTCAATATAGTGGTCTTCCCTGCATTATCCAGCCCTCTGAATAGAATTTGGTTAAGCAAAAATGATAGAATACTACAAACTTACAAAGAGGGCGCAAATGTTCAACTTGCCCTAAAAAATTGTCTTGTAAAACAATCCTATAAATTCCTATAAATAAGAAATCAAGCAATATCAGACTTAAAAAACAAAAACAAGCAAGAGTGATGGACAAAACAATCTATGCAAATTGTGCGAAGGGCACAACTTGTTATTCTTCTTCTTCTCTGCTTTGTTTCAGTTTTAATTCAAACCTTAAGCACACCGCAAACTATGTGATCTGACTACGATCCACTTTATAAAGTATTTGCAATAGCATTTAGTATGAGCATCAAACTTTACCGTAATGAGGATCTGAGACATTATGGTAGATTTATAACTTCACACAGGCGCGCGCCCGCCCGCAACCCACAATCGGTATGCACTTGTATTGTGCGGTGGTTTGCCATGAAACCTGTGAAAAAGTGTATAGACTCTATGCCTACTAATATTAATAATATCAACATTTTTCAGAAAAATACTCCAAAAATAACAAGAAAATTGACACGAAACAGGTAATAAACATAACAACTTTTAACTCATGATCTTTATTTGGACGAAATTTAATGAATATTTACTTCATTTTGGGTATGTTTTAGTAGGGTATCTCCATGCCGGAGTTACGGGTCAAATTTTGGATAGGTTTCTGAACAAGCGCATTTAAAAATGCTAGCCGGACCAATTTAGCCCCATTGAAATTGTACGAATGGGACCGAGACAGAGTCTCTACCCGGCAGTGGCTCACGAGTAGTCCTTCAATTTTGATCACTGAATGGTAAACTCGCAGTAGAAAAGGATACAGCATAAGAAGTCGCATCTCCTTTTCTTTCTGTCTCATCTTCTTCAGAATTGTGAGCAGTCCCATGATTTTTAATTCCACTTGTAAGTCGTAAAGTAAAGTTGCTGCTACCGGTCAAAATATAAATATTCATTAAAATTAGGATTGTGTATGTCGCCCTCATCGTACAGCTACAGAGGAGTAAAACATTTACATCCATGGGCCAAGACCAGAAATTTGGGTTTAATATTGGTACCACTCTAGATGGCAAGATCTTTTAATACATTTTGAAAGGTCCCATATCTATACATAATATTTTGATATGAAAGCAATTTCAGACTATAAGGTCCGTCATAGAATCAGCAGTTTCCATGGCAACACGACACTAAATCCGGTATTATTCAATGAAACAGTATAATTTATAAAAACACTTTTGAATGCGGAAAACTGAAAGTTGAGAATACCTCACCATGAAGAAAGTAATGAAATGCAATTTACATCACCATTTATAACGGTTGCCATAGTAACGACCCCAGAAAATCCTAAAAATTAAGGATTTTGGAGTAATTTCAGTAACATATTAGTAATATATTTCTACTGCGAGTTTATCATTCAGTGATCAAAATTACACTTCCTAACAATTTGTATATTTTCTCAACTATATTTAAATTTCATCTTTAATCGCACCAAAATAACCCCTTAGAGAGAGCATTTATTTCTGACTCGTGTTCATCATTATATTATGTACATCAACCTCGGAATATCCTCCATGAACCTTCACATGGGCTCCATGAATTACACTCGATAATATTATGTATGTTTTCTCAATTATATTCGCTTCATATGTATAAATTTCATCTGTAATCGCACCAAAATAACTCCTCAGAGAGAGCATTGATGTTACATATTTATTTCTGACTCGTGTTCATCATTATAGTATATTATGTACATCGCCTTGGAGATGTGCGCTATCGACCTCTGAAAGTGTAATTTATGGAGCACATATTGAGTCAATATGTGCTCCATAAATTACACTTGCTAATAATATGTTTATTTTCTCAATTATATTTGCTTCATGTGTATTTTTTTTTAAAACAGATGTTTCTGCATTTATTGATAAATCAAATATAAAACATTAAAATAACAATAATAGTATATAATATAATTGATTTACATAAAGAGTGACAACTTGAATACACACAAATAAAAATGCATAATTGAAAGCTTGAAAGTATGGAGGTAAGTAAAAATAATCAAGATAAATGCAGATGCCAACTATCATAAGCATGAATGCTTGAAGGGTGGTGGTGGGGTACATGGCGCTGTCATAGGAGTATGTTAGGGGAATAGAGTGTCACGTATAAAGATTTTGTTCAGAAAGTATCTGAATAAAAAGTGGAAAGAAATTAAAGAAGAAAATAATAATTGCAAGTGTGTGCAAATGGGTGTGTGCAGGTGAAGTAAGTGTTCGATTCGTATTGTTAATGAACTGGTCATCTAAAATTAATTTATATAAACAAACAATCAAAAGCTCTGAGACCCTTATAATGTTTTTGAATATGTAGATATTTAACATCTTTTCATCGATGCTTTGAATGAATAAAGAGTTGCAGGGTGTTTAATATTGTCAGGTAAAGCATTCCAAATATCTGGACCATGGTGTCTTATCGATATAGGCTATAATAATTTTGGGGTTGGTTAAGTGGAAATCGGAGGAGCGTCGTGTAGGATAGGAATGTATATCACTATTGTAAACAAAAATATTTCGAAATGCCAAAGGTATAGTATTTATCCAAAATTTATACATACTCTCTAAAAAAAAATCGAGTGATCACGGACGTCACTCCTCTGGACAGTGAAAATGTAGTGAAAATAGAGTGAACATTCACTCTTTTCTTCTTAGAGAGCACTCTAAAATCAATCGATTTTCACTCCTAAACAAGTGATCACGGACGTCACTCCCCAAAAAGTGAAAATAGAGTGAAAATTCACTCTTTTTTTTTTAAGAGAGTAAAGATTGCAGTTTGAAAACTGTGAATGTCAGCGATTTTTAATGTTTTAAGTTTACAAAATATTGGACAGTATGGGCTAAATAATGTGAATGTGTACAAAGACGAAGTGCTTTCTTTTGGAGACGATATATTAACATAATTTTCATCTTAGTTACAATATTGACCCTCCAATAATCAATTACCCCGGGTATTTCTACCCGAATTTCTATTTAACCAGCCAATCGAGGTCTGATAGGTGCAAAGCGCATGCGTGTAAGTCGCGCTGCCATTGTGACCTCATGATGCTACGCTGTGCATATCACCACTGATCTCTACGAAAAATAGAGATCAGTGCATATCACGCTCTAGCTTTCACTGGGTAGAGATTTACTGCCTTCTGATTGGCTTAAAGTTTTTCCTCGATGACGACACAATAGTTGGTATGGTTGCGCGTTGAATGGTCTTTTTTATCAACAAACCGTTGCGCTTTGTGTTCAGTTTTGATCTAGCTTCCGAGTGCACATGTTGCTTCTTCTAAAGTGCTTTCGAAACTTTCTTTATTGAATCAGCGAATTCAATCACGTTCTCCAAAAGAGATTTCTCCCGAGATTTCTACTTTGTTAACAGGTAATTCAATCAAAGTTCCCTCTCTCCCATGCACCAATAGTTCGGAATAAACTGAATAGTAGTAGTATTATAATTCCACTTCTCACAAATTTTATATCATAAGTGTATGTATTTTTTCCAAAGGCCAACGTTACACAAATTTAATGATATACCTACTTCAAGATTATATCCAGTATGACTGGTAGGCCTATGCCAAATTAAGACACATTATGTGCGGACAAAAATCAACTAAATATGGATGAAATAAATTTTATAGAATATTTTGGAACCGTTAAAAAATAGCTAATAACTTAATAAGCTACAATTAAAAAAAAAAAATTCACTCCAGAACTGAATATTAATTTGTTCGTAGATAAATCGCTCAGTCTCTGACAATGGTAGACATCGGTATGTCAGCTCAGAGAAAGCGGAGGGCTCAACGGATGGCAAAGCGCCGTCAAAGACTAGCCCTGGGACCAGTGTCCGACCACGGGGATGAGATTCTTCAAGCCATTGAGATAGTCAAAGCCATACTGGTCAAAGCTAAGCAAGAAGCCCAAGCTTACCCCGGCGGAGATTTCCCCAAGGAGTCGAAAGACCAGCAAACCGACAATTCTGCAATCTCAACGTTCATCCCAAAACAGAGGTACAGCAAATATTTCTCTTTTTGTTTCCTTCTCCCTTCTTAACATGCAAATTCGGAATTTAATTTGTTTATGATACATAAATGAATTACAGCATAATGATACCTACAATATTGGAATCATACATACTGCTGAGTCACTGAGAAGATCTCAATACATTTTACATGAAATTAAGGAATTCGATGGTCATGCACTTAACAGAGAAACTTTTTAATTTGGGTGGCATTTATTTATTACTTCGTAGTTTACTATTTCTTGTCTCTTTTCTCAAAACAGTTATACTCTTGAACCAGAGATATCGGCCCAACAGAACAAGAGTGTTGATGAAGAGGTCATCCACATGCTGAAACCTAAAGTCTCATGTCAGACTCTCATACTCGATGACCTCGTGACCTTTGACATGGGATGGACTGTAAAGGTATGGAAGTCAAAGTTCTTTTTTTGAAATAGAAAATGTATTCATGATCCACTGAAAGAGAGACAGAGGGAGAGTGAGAGAGAGAGAGAGAGGGGGAGAGAGAGAAAGAGAGAGATGGAGAGGAGGGGAAGTTTCTTAGCAAGACACGATTATAACCACTGAAACATCGGATGGACTTAGTCAGTTTTTAAGTCCGCATTAAAAGAATCCCTCAGAAGTTGTAAGCTAAGAGAAGTTTGGAAAAGATATTTCATCCCTTCTCAGCGATGTTGTAGAACAGAAGACAAATACATGTAATTTGGTGCCGACTTATATTTAATCATAAGTAACTTGCTTCAAATTTCAATATTCTTTTTTCTCTTTACAGAGCATCATTACGCTCAAAGAAATTGGAAGGGGCAGCTATGGTCGGGTTGTGATAGCACGTCATCGTTCCACAGGCGTTCCTCTTGCCATCAAAGAGCCGTCATGGTCAGACGACTTCGCCTCGCCTGGTGAAATGGTTGAAGGACTCAAGGCAACCAGGACCAGAACAACAAAGGAGGCAATGATCCAACAGTTGTTGTCAGGCAGTCCTTACTTTCCCAAGTTCTGGGGTACCCTTGATCTCGGCAACGAACTCTGCCAGGCCGTCGAGTTCGTGGGGTGTAAGAAAACGGGGACTGGCTACCCTCTCCACGAACCGCCATCGCTGTCGATGTGCAACGTTTTCAAGATCGCAGAGGACATCGTCAAGGGCATGATGGAGTTTCATGATCACGGACTTCTCCATAATGACCTCAAGAACGATAACGTACTCCTGGAAAAACGTGGCAAGCGATACAACGCCGTCATCATCGACTTCGGGATGGCAAGTACGATCACCGCCCCAGCGAAAATGGTCGGAGTTGCCAAAGAACTCAAAATGGCGTATGTACATGGAGGAGAGGCAGACTATATAGCACCTGAGGTTGTTTTGGATGAGCAGCCAACATCCATTGCTTCAGATGTGTTTTCAGTCGGCCGTATCCTCTCCGATATGGGAGAGATATTTGGAGGTAAATCTAAATTTCATACTTAGTGTAAGCTCGTAATTAGTTATCTTTTTCATAAAACGAGATAGGTTTATGAAAAATGAATATGCATGTATTATAATCTTTTGAAAGAAAGCTGCTCAGTCTGAATAAATTTCTTCTCAGTTCTTTTTTCTAAAAATAAGATCACGATGCGGCGTTGCATCGTGGGGGCTGCAAGCACATCAAGCTTTGACCTGTAGCCCTGTTTATACCTAAATTATATTCATAATACAGTATAAGAAGTATAAAAACAGTGGCAAGCTATATTGTAACGCCTCTTTTCTTTTCTATTTTCTAATTCTTTCTTTCTGCAGGTCACCGTTCTCCCGCAGTTCGAGAACTGTCCAAGCTAGGAGCCCAGTGCATGGCTGATAATCCTGACCATCGCCCTAGCCTCGATACCATCCAAAGTCAAATCACTAAACTCCAACGGCCCAGTAGATGGAGGTGTGTCAAGCGATGGGTTGCTAAGAAACTGCATCTACGTCGTCGGAAGTAATCTGGAAATAAACACATTTTAGAACAATAATTTATTATAGCATTCATTGAAATAAAGCTACCCATTAAACTAAAATGATTTGTGTAAGCATTTGTTTTTTTCAAAGATACTTATCTCGATGGACGATACAAAGACAGATAAAAGAGAGATAGGGTAAAGGCGAAAATAGAGACTCAGAGTGAGAGAAAGCGGGGGGGGGGGGGGGGGGGGGGGCGGACGAAAGGGAGGAGAGAGTGTACACGGAGAGATCAGAGTCAACTGTGAATGTTTTTTTTTTCCTTCTTTTTATTTTCCTTCTTTTTTTTCCTTCTCCCCCCCCCCCCCTTTTTTTTCCCCCCTTCTTTTTTCCTTCTTTTTGTTGCCCTCCCCCCGCTTATTCAGCGGCTGGCTGAGTCGTTGAGAATTTTTTGGCGCGATTTTCCAAATTTTAACCCCCCCCCCTGAAAAAATCCTGCGTGCGCTACTGTATAGCTCACAGCAACTATCTTGAAGGTTCTGAACTGCTAAAATAGAAAATCATCCAGAGGCGCTGCCCCCGCAACCCACCAGGGGCCTATAAAGTATAGGCCACTCCTATCAGTCAAAATAGAAGTGGCTCCCAAAGTCCCAAGACAACCCTATGGTGTATAAAAATGAATTGTCTTCAAGAGTGTTTTAGCTATCTTGAAGGTTTCTGAATTGCTAATACTCAGTATCCAGGGGCTCTACCTTCTGGTCCCTAACGGGCCCTTTTTTTTTGGGGGGGGGGGGTCCACATTTTGAGGACTCTAAAAAAAGACAAGCAAAAGGAGAAAAAAAAACAGAAAGACTTTTTTTTTCAATGGATTATCATATTTCGGTGCTTTATATACAAATAAATATAATGGAAGAGATATAAGGTTAACAAATTGTAAATGTCTTTTTGGTTAGAAATTGCAAACGGTTGTTTGTCAAGATCATCTTTTTTTTTTTAATGTGTAGTCTTGGAACCTCAGTGTAGTTCGATTTTGATTTATTGGCCTGATCGAGATCTGATAATGATAGAAAACAAACTCTCACAGAATCCAAGAAAACTTACACTGAATGTTCAAGACTACAAATAAATGACATGTGCCATTCGATTTGGGTAGAAAATGTATGGGCTGAGGAATGAGCATAAAGATAAGGAATTCATGTAGACCAGTTCACGGTTAGCACCTCAATGACCTCGAAAATCCAAAGATCTTCAAAACATGAAGAGGTACATTTTGAAATAATCACTTCCACAGCGACGGAGGTGCTATATAAATTACCTTTATTTCCCCTTTTTAAAGAATACTTCCAACTGTGTACCACTACCATGGAGTGCACTGAATGTGCATGAATGAATAATGTTACATAACTTTCAAAAATGAGCACGTATCCATAGTTCTGCAATGACCTTTATCTGCTCATGCTCAGACTGCAACCGTGAACTGGCTTGGTCCGACACCTTGCATGTGCTAATTACCACAGGTCATTATGTTGAGTGAGATTTGTGGTTTTTATCGAAGATGATTTCCAGCAAGATTTTTTCTCTCTTCATTTTACTGGTTCAAACCATCAATCTACTGCAGGATAAACAGTCCAGAATTAATTATAGCCATGTTCTCTCGACATACGATTCCCATTATATACCAGAGCTCAAGATTAGGTATCAGAACTCAAGTTTGTAAACTACTACTAGAAGTCGATGCCCCCCCCCCCCCCCCCCCCCCCTCCCGACCCCCGGAAAACTTTCGGGATTATTTGCATAAATGAATAATAAGTAATAATCTAGTGACGTCAGCTGCATGTGCTTCACGTGTTAAATAAGTTTAAGCAGAAATGAAGACTAAAAAGAAGATAAAGGCACAGAAAACCAAGTCTCCTGTCGACCGAAATGATGATGTACGTACCATTATTACCTTATAATAGGATGAATATTATTCTTAGTTTCATTTAGCTTGTATTTAGTCATTAATTATGCGGCTTGCTTTGAGATAATTTTGTGTTGTCCCACATATTCAAACGTGTGTCTTGTCGCAGGAAATATGACGTTCTGACACGCGCACGCACACAATGCAATGAAGACGGCAAAAGCCAAAACCAAAACAAATTTAACTCGCACAAAACATTGGTGTAGAACTGTAGATCTAAATTACGGAATTATGTTGGTATAAATTCACACTTTAAAATTTATGTTTGATGTTAGTACTTAATATTTTCTAGATCATGAAAACATGAATATATTTTTTACTACAAAAACTGATTGCAATTTGCATTGCATTGTGCTTGTGATTGGAGTGAAATTTCTTATTTATTTATGTTCTTTGCTAGTGAATTTCATCATGTTCAGTCACAATCACAGCTGAATAGCGAAGGGCGCTATACGGTAGTTATGAATCATATCCAGAATTTGACCCGTAACTCCGACTAAAACATAGTCTACCCAAAATCAAGTAAATATTCATCAAATGTTCAAATGATGGTCATGATATAAAATTTGTAATGTTTCTTTAACTTTTTCGTGTCAACTTTCTTATTTTGGGGGGAGTATTTTTCAGAAAACATTGATATTGTTATAGACTTTCTCACAGGTTTCATGGCAAACGGCTGCACAATGGGTTGCGGGCGGGCGCACGTGCACGTGAAGATATTACTTCACCCAGGCGTGCGTCTGCCCACAGCCCATTCATCTGTATAGGCCTAAACTTGTATTGTGCAGCGGTTTGCCGTGAAACCTGTGAGAAAGTGTATACTAATATGATTATTTTCCCCAAAAATACTCTGAAAAGAAAAAGAAAGATGACACGAAACAGGTAAGAAACATAACAAATTTTAAATCATGACCATCATTTAAACATTGATGAACATTTTTTTGATTTTGGGTATGTTTTAGTAGGGTAACTCCACGCCGGAGTTACGGGTCAAAGTCTGGATATGATTCTGAACTAGCGCCTAGTGAAGTAGTATCAAGCATAACTCAATCTTTCAAGGAATTGGTTATTGATAAGAGATTTAAGTTTTTAACCTGACTAAGCACGTCATAGATAGAGCAGACAAAACTTGAAAGTATTTGTTGTAATTTCTTCTCTATGACAAAAGTTAATATGTTGAAATACAAAAAATAGGAACGTTATTCGCTCAGCTCAGTAAAAGATCTGTTATTGCTAAATGTGTGAGTAATAGTCTTTTATGTTCTCATCTGTGCAGGAGGAATTATCTGGTCTAGTGAGCGGTATCCATGACGATGGAGGAGAAATCGAGACTGCTGGCCTTGGAGATGGGGAAGACATCCCTGCATCAGAGATCAGTGATGTCATCAAAAAACTGAAGCTTGACAGGTAGGTTATGATGGTGTAAAATCAACCGTTTGATTATGTGGGAGCTTTTATTATTATAATTTTACATAAAGCAAGATTTTTTTCTTCAACATGGGCTTGTTATTTTACCACTCTTTTTATTTTGTTTTGGCAGGTTCAAAGATATCGCAAAGAAGCCAAAGGAGAAGCCTGTCCAAAAGCAAGATAAGACTGCAGGACAGACTGCAGGACAGAAGAACAAGAAGCAACTTCAGGATAAAACTCAGAAGAAAGACAAAATTCAAAGAGATGACAAACCAAAAGAGGACAAACCTCAAAAGAAGGACAATTCTACACCTGGTACACCTGCTACTAGCAAAAAGAACCAAAAGAAGAAAAACAACGAAAAACAAAAGGATGGTGGAAATCAAAATAAAGACAAAAATCCTCCAAGTGGTGCTGCAAAGACTCCAATAAAAGAAAGGACTGAAAAGCCTGCTCAAGTAGAAAAGCAAATTAAAAATGAGAAGATCAAAGGAGCTTTGAGCCTGGAAGTTCCAAAGACATCTTCAATTTTGCTTCCCACTGGGACCAAATGGCATTCAATTCAGGTGAAATATCCCTATTTATCGAAACTAAACTGTATAGCAAACTTTCTAGTATTCTCACAAATAGTGAAAATGAACTCCTGTTTATTATAATATTACTCAGTTTACAGAGGCCAGTTTCTTGAAACCATTGTAAGACTAAGTTCATTGACAACCCATAGATAATAAGAAATGCTTGTTAATTTTGTAAAAAAAGGTATGAATATAGATTTATGTTCGTTTTAACAAACTAGGGTGAGGAGTCTATCATTGCATACCAAACAAGATACATTCATGATTCATCTAATAACAATGAAGAAAGTTTACAATTTTTTTGTCAGACAGCTTTTATCATCATGTGTTCACAAAAATACCTGAACGTGATGCAATGTAAATAAAGTCCATATGTTATGTTATGGTATGTGGTTTCATAGCTTTGCAACTATGAAATTTACAAAAAAAAAAGAACAAATTTCATTGAATTCTTTTTTTCTGTTTCAGGATGGAGTGAAAGCAACCGGCAGTCCAGCAGTATCATCAGAAGGAGTCGTCTCATCTTACATGGAATATGCTACCAAGCTCTATGACCAGGAAGTAGAACTCCATGCTGCCAGTGAGTGTCTATTGATATCTATTCCTTAGAACTCTGTGTCTTGATAATGATTTTAGTTGAAGTGAAATGAATAGTTTCAGGATATTTATTAGTAACTCTTCAAAGGTCAGGGTTATGTTGTTAATCCAGCACAGTGATGTTAAAGACTGTGCAGCAAGTATTGGTTAAATTTTGAATTAATTTGGTACCAAATTATGCTTAGACTCAAGCTCTTAAAGTCATAGAAGCTAGCAGTTCATCTTTATTTCATGAATATATGGAGGCTAAAATGCTGAGGTGGATTGGTAGGGTTAACATCATAAACAACAGCCAAATTTCTGATGGTTTTAGTTCATTCTCATCTTCTCTTCCAATAAACAGAGAAAAGCAGTGATTCCGGTTCCCAGAGCAGGTGGATGCAGACCGTTGCCAAGTCAGGGGCACTCTCAGACAAGGTAGCCGCTCTGACCCTGGAGGTCCAGGGAGCCCCCATCCACACTCCCCTCAGCCTAGATGCCCTGCTGGCCATGGTGAAGAAGAAGGGACGCAGGGAGGCCCTCATAGGGCTGGATGCGGCCAAGAGGCTCTTCCTGGAAGAGTTGTTGCCTAGCAACAGAAGGTTGACGACATTTGCACAGGTAAGATGCACATTGATGCCCGCTTGTCATTCCATACATCATGGTGGGAGTATCTACTTGTTCTGTCTGGCTCTATCATAATGCAATTTTGCTTGAAATATCACCTTTTGATGCAATTTAGTAAATTTCCTCCTTTTTTACTATTCCGTCATCATCCTGGATGAAAAAAAAGCCTTTTCACTAATCAAATAAATTAAAGCTGTATGAAGAAACCTATTTGGGAGAGAAATGCATCATGTGCATGGTGGTGTACAATTTTCACACTATTTTACATGTTGTATACATGACAAGAAATTGTTTGTACAAGGATTCTTTATATGGAGCTTTGTTGTGTTAAAAAGATATTAATTGCTTTCATGTAGCCTCAGACTGTTTTTTATTAAACATTTTGCAGTTGACCATGTCTGAAACTGGGGGGGGGGGGGGGGGGGGGGGGGGGGTAAATTATTTTGTGTCATTATAACATATCTTTAAAAAGTTGAATTTTATTCAATCTCATTTTGAAATGCTCTAAACTTCATAGGAGAATGGCGACTGGAAACATTTTCTCCTTTGAGCCTATAAGAAAAGTCCATAAGAACATGTCAAAGTTGGACTAAAGTTTAAATGTAAAAAGACAAGTGTTTACTGGTGAATGGTTTATCCTGATGAGAGTTGACCCTATACCAGCTTTAATCATGAGAGTTGACCCTATACCAGCTTTAATCATGTTTTTTCTGTTATGTTTGGCAGCATTCATTTGAAGATCTGGAGAAGAGGTGCAGCAAGAATCGACTAAGCCGTGACAAACAGGTCTTATTGTGGTTCTTTGAGGATCAACTTAAACAGAAATATGGATCTCTCCTGGACATGATAGAGGTATGTTGTTTCTTATAAAATGAGAAACTGTGCTCATACAAAGAAATTAATTATGTGATATTTTAATTTATGATTATGTCCCAATTAGAGCAACTATATTCATTTAGATGTGATATTTAGATCTTTATTCTCTTTTCTTATTCCATTGGAAAAATATACTTTCTTTTAATGTATTCTGTTAAAAAATATATTAAAGAAATAGTAGAGTGCCATCAAAAGAATAAAAATGTATTTGAAAGAGCTGAAACTTTGGAATGATTGATGTTAGTAAAATCTTTTTATTAAGGGTGCTTTCAGGCAAGAGAAAGTTGTTTATGATGCTTTCAACTTCAGCTCGCTATATCACATTATACAGGTTTCTACCCGGATAACACGTATGATTTCTGAAGTATTAGAATTTGTGCTAAAATTGCTTATATTATAGGTATTTAAAGCATTGTATCCATTGTTAACTTTTACTCTGCTTTCTCATTCCTCAGTGTATTTTCTTCACCCTTTCTTTCTGTATTTTACTCTTGTTTGTTTATTTTTTATCTGTTAATGATTTGTCTTTATGTCTTTTACATTCCCACAGAAAATGCTTCAGGATACAGTGAGTGCCATCAAGGCTAAGGCTCTATCTTGTTGCTATGAGTTAATAGTAAACAGACCAGAAGAAGAGAAGGTGAGAACAATTAGTATAATTTCTTATTTTTCATGTTGTCACAAATTTTAATTAAACTGAAATCTGATTCCACGGCAATACAGAAAATTCATTTTGGATGTGTATCATATTTTTATTTTTACCTCAGTCATGTGAATTACCTGTGTGCCATCTTTCAAAGCAAAAGTTCATGGCACAAAAGAATGTGTGTAATGTGTAAGAGTTAGAATATGATCAATATCGAATATCAGGTAATGATATTACCTTGCCTCACTTACGTGTGGTGATTCATGAGATGTTTTCTTATTGATATCTTTCAGAGGTTACTGAGGTTGATAGTGAACAAGGTTGGAGACCCTGATTACAAGGTTGCTGCTAAAGCTGTTCACTGGCTGCAGAAGCTAGGTAAGGGGCTACTGGTCTATTGCTGGAAGATTTATTTATTCATTGTATGTTTTGTTTTGTTTTGTTTTGTTTTTCAGATAGTTTCAAGTTGGGTTTAATTGCAACTTTTTTTTATTTTGTGCTTGTGGCCTCATGTTTTCCTTTTCACATATTTTCTTATTTCCCAATTTTAGAAATTTAAAAAATAGCAATCACAGCCAACTAATTGTGTTTCTTGATATTTTTCCAATTAAATGTTGAAAATCTGACAAATGACAGAAATCAACAAGTTCTGTCATTACAGAGACTAAATTTGTGTGATGTTTGTGTATGTGGTATAATATTTAGCTGTTCTGCTTAAAGATAAAGACCAGTTATGGTCATGCGATTGCATTGTGAAATCGATCAGAAAAGGTTGATCATCTAGCATAGATGTACTGCAAGGTTCTGGAATCATCAAAATGATAAGAAATTTGGCCCAGTCTTCATAAAGTTGCAAGCACTGTACACAGAAAGATGTATATGGGACTACGCACACGTGCGCGACATGTGTGTTTTTATCTCTCACACGCCAATAGATAATCTAATTTACCAAATATATCAATTAGTAGGCGATTTCCCGGTAAAATTTTTATCATCATGTATTATTCAAAACATATTCTTTCACATGATTGGTAATAAGAACTTCCATTTCATTTTTTGAAATTGGAGCGTTTCCAATACTGGTCTTTACCTTTAATATCTTTTCTATTGCTTCCAATCATTGACAATTTTTCAATTTTTAATCTCATTTCTTGTTATCTTTTGTCCCTTTTAGTTGATGTTCACTCCATGATGAAGATCGTTGTTGTCCAAGCTATAGAAGAGTTGCTCTTCAGACCAAACATCAACACAAAAGCACAGTGAGTATGCAGCAAAATTGTCTCCAAATGTAGTAGGACATGTTTTAAACTGCTCAAACAATACTGTCTTTAATACTCTATTTCTAAAAGGCATTTAAAATCAAAGAAAAACTTCTTCCTTCAGCCTTCACAGTTAGAGACTTATTTACCCATTGCATGTTATTGTTTCTCAATTGTCAGAATAGGTACAATTGTTGTCAGTAAGTCAGACAAACCTCTGAAAATATGGGGAGATGATCAATGATATTTGTATACTGTTCAAAATGGACCCTGTGAACCTAAAGAAAAACAATTGAGAGATCAATATAATTTTGAGGCAATTTGGGACTTTTATGACGAGGAAACCAAGAAGATTTGAAAAGGTGATGGATTTTTGAATTTTTCCCAAATTTGCCTTAAAGCCCCTTTTGGGAACAAACAGGGATCAATATTATTCTAAGGGCAATTCAGGACTTCCATGACAAGGAAACAAAGAAGATTGAAAAATTTCATTTTTGGCAAAAAGAAGATGGAAAATTTTCAGTGGATGAATGTTCACCATACTGTGAGAGTATAACCACCAATGTATTGTGTTTCCCTGCAGGTATTATGCCGTGTGCTTCTTAAATCAGCTTGTTCTGCATCCAGAAGAGGATCAGCTTGCAACCCAACTCATCATTGTCTACCTCTCATTCTTCAAGGTAATTAAATCACAGGTCTAATATTTGAAGAAAAGAACAGTGGCTTAGTGGTAGAGCAGTGGTCCAGTGTTCAAAACCCAAGTTGATGTGTCCCTTTTGATAAGGCCTTAAATCTCATTACCAAGTCTCTCGGAGAAGACCGAAAGCCATCGGTCCCGTGGTTGCTTACTTACAAGCATACACATGCTTTCTTAGCATTAAGGTGATTTAAACCAACAAACTAAACCAGCCCCCCCCCCCCCCTCAACAAAAAATAAAAAAAGATTCCTATTACATTGACAGTGCTCTACAAGCCCACTTGCCTGCTTGACAGGGGCAACCATAATTTGTTCACGGGCCAGTGAATGAAAATCACTCTACATGTAGCTAGATTGGACATGTATAGTGTTATATTGTTACATCATGTGAACATTCAAATTACATTAACTAATTCTTAATACATTGATTTGTAGTTTATTGATCTTTAAATTTAGGGGTACGAGGTATTGAAGTGGATACTATTTCGTCGCTGTTTTCACGAAGTGACGGTAGTGAAAAAAAATTGCATTCACTTTGCGTTACGATTTTCCTCACTACTGTCACTTCGTGAAAACAAGGACGATTTGTTGTAACAACCTGTGTTTAATCTACTCTATAGAGATCTTCTCTAGTTTTTCCTGTTTACAATGGTTCCCCTTTGAGGTCCTTTCACCAAATATCTGCCACTCCCTTCTACCCATGTATCTCTATCAGTCTACTCCATCCTGTACTTTTTCCATTCATTTCCACCCCTCGTCTTTAAATGTCCAAAGACTGAATGGGTATATCTTGTTGTTTCTTTGACAGGCTTGCACCAAACAGAAGAAGATTGATAACAAGATGTTATCAGCAGTTATCACTGGAGTACATCGAGCATTCCCTTATTCTAAAGGTCAGTGCAAAGACACAACTACAAACAGATTTGAATCTACACCATTATTTGTATTTCCACTCAGTTTATGTATATCAAAATTGCTTTCTTATTTATGTATTTGAAACCATCTGTATATCCTCTATATAGTTATTATGTAAGAGTTGAACTATTTCACTCCTGCAAATCCAATACTTTATATAATGCCTCTAATTTAGTCAAATTTTTTCTTCTTCACATGCACATAAGTATCACTTATTAATGATGTTATCTAAGCAATCATTTCCTGATTTCTTATTATATGGCATTCACAAAGACATAACGAACAGATCTGTCTCTTTTTTTGAAAAATTTTGTGTAAAAGTAAAGACTGTGTTCCTATTTTTTTCTGTGGAAAGCTGACACAGATGAAGGTCTAATGTATGTATTTGAATAACAGATATGTGTATGTGACAGGGGTACCGGTATACTTCATATTCTTACATTATTTGATTATTAGTAAATATTTTGTTTGTTTTTGTTGATACTTTGCAGAAGATGAGAAGGTTCATGAGCAGCTAGACACCCTTCTCAAGGTCGTTCATCAGACGACCTTCAACACCAGCATCCAAGCTCTTCTATTGATCAAACAGGTCTTAGACAAGAGGTCAGTAGCTACCCTGTAATGTAGTGTTGAAAATGTCCGCAGACAATCCTGAGGATGCTTGTCTTATCGTTTACAAATCTTTGGTGTATTAAAGTGATATTTGAATAGCTACCATTTTCCCCCAAACTTTTCAAAGGTTTTGTTTTCTAAATTGGAAAGGATGAGAAAAGAGATTTGAAGAAAAAAGTGACAAACTATACATTATCTGCAGTTTTTGTGTTAAAAAGCACCAGATTGGCAAATGGTGCCTGCCTTGTTTACGTCTTCATGGGACCATATTGCTGAACTCAATTGAGGTCACTAAAACTGTCAACCCTGCCCTAAAAACAGTAGTCTACTTCTTCTTGTTCTTCTGCAGAGAATGACCTTTGACATGTATCTGTTTTGTTGTGATTGAATTATTCAGGCAATCGACCATGGATCGGTTCTACTCAGCCTTGTATCGTAAGCTCCTGGATCCCCATCTCTCCTCGTCTCCCCGTCACGCCATGTTCCTCAACCTTCTCTACCAAACACTCAAGAGCGATGATGTCATCAACAGGGTCAAGGTCAGTCAAGGTCATTTGCTTCAATGTCTTTGAAATACGCATTGCATATTACTTTCTTATGGTCTGACAGGTTTTGATAGAGCAATGGTCTTCATAAGGTGGTTAACTAGATTTGAGACCAAGTCAATGCGCTGAAGCCTTTGTTTATTGGAATCGTTTGCAATCCAGATTCAAAGCTGTTTTGATTTATCATGACTCTTTAACCTGACTGCTAAGAAAGCAAATATTTCCTTTTTAGATAAGCAATGAGGAGGAACTCTGACATTTATTGCTGTACAAATGACTTGTTGGTAAGGAGTTAGCCTTAAAATGAAGGGGCATTAGCGTATTGACTTCGGATTTGAATCTTGAACCTCCCACTTATGATATCCCTTCTCTTCATTGAGTTGTGTTACTCTATTGGGCTACACGTAGCTTACAAGAACATTATTGCTTTCTCAGCACTTGGAGTAAATAAAAATTGATCATCTACCGATTGAAACAACAATGCTGTCTTTGTTGGTTATAACAGTCAAATGGTAAACAGCTTTATTTTTTTCGTCTTTTAATATGAGGGTTAATTTTAGTTACACATTCATGTATATGTTTACCTTATCTTTATATGTTGTTTTATGTATGCACCAGCCAATGTGGAGAGCCTCTTGACAAATTTTTGTAATTCTTCTAGGTGATCCCCAGGCATTAGCTGGTGCTAAATATCATACTGTTAATGTTAAATCATTTTGTGAACCCTGTGATGTTTTCTATTGTTATCATCTTGCCTGGAAATAAAATAAATATCAAAAAATCTTTGACCAGGCCTTTGTGAAACGTCTTCTGCAAGTGTGTAGCTGGCAGCAGTCTCCCTTCATAGCTGCAGTCCTAGTCCTGGTCTCTGAACTCATCAAGGCCAAACCATCCTTAGGAAAGGTCAACTCATGGAATGATGTAAGTTTACTTTCTCAAGATGTTTGCGTTATATCTCTTATATTTGATTAGAAACCTTTGTTAGCAAGATAACAGGTTTCATAAGAACTGTAAATTCCAAGCTCGTCAGAACAGTTTAGATTGGAATAATCATATAGTGGATATCACTAGGTGTGTCTTCCCATATTGTTGAGTATACAGTAGTGACCGAATATGAGAATTTCTCCTTGAATTTTGTATAATTTTGTTTTATAATTCCTATGTCATCATTGACCAGGATGATGATGAAGATGAAAATTTCATGGATGTACAAGAAGAAGAAGATGATGATGAGGACAAAGAAGGAGAGGCTGATGCTAAGGGCAAAACAACATCACATCCTGAGAAACCCAAACCCAGCAGCAAGGACAAAGCATCCTGGGTGCATAGACCAGTCAGGCCCGGTGGGAAGGAAGGTAAGGAAATACTTGTGAAAAGGAATTGTAGTTCTCTAAAATTTGGAGTGGAGTATTCCGTGCAATTTTTATTCTTGCAGTAATGATGTTATGTATAGTTTTATAAGATTCTTGCTGAGAAAAAAAAAATTCTTGTTGTTTGGATATATCTGTGATTTTTAAAACTGTTTCAATTCAGGCACATAATGATGGAAAAATAGTTATAAAATTGGCATTTGCAAAGTTGGGAGCAAGAAATAAGTTGGAGATGAATACATGTAGATGAGAATGTATTGCTATATTGATAAATGTTATCTCTCTCTCTCTCTCTCTCTCTCTCTCTCTCTCACTCTCTCTCTCTTTCTCTCTCTCTCTCTCTTTCTTCTTTACAGATAAGCACTTAAAATAAATTTAATGGTAATATATATTTTGTTTAATTCCTTGCAATTTTCTAACTTCTTTGGGAAAGGTTTAAGTGTGAAGTTACATCTTTTCGTTCTTTCTGTTTCTATTAGGTGTACCTTCTGGTTATGACCCGCTAGCCAGGAATCCTCTTCACAGTCATGTGGATAACGCTGTCATGTGGGAACTCAAAGTGGTGAGAGCAAGAAGTCTGTTTGACATTTGTGCAAAACTTGCCAATTTAAAAAGGATATATGGTTTCTGATACGCATGTGAAGAGCATATTAAAGAGTTATTATTACATTCTATCCATTGGTATTTTGTTTATTCATCCAATTTAATCCAATTTTGAGTAGTTTAGTGCCTAAATCTTATCACTTCCTTTGAGGAGGTTTTGAAAACTTCACTAAAATATTAAGACATTAACCCAATCATTATTATGGTTTGAAAACTAGAAAATGTAGAGTAAAGGCAAACACTACTGATGTTCTTGCAGTATTATCTCAAATGACATTCATAACAAAATTGCTTGTCTTAAAAATGTTTAATAAAGGGGTTTTTGACTTATTTTCCTTATTTTTTTTCAGCTGTCGAATCACTTCCATCCATCAGTATCCCTGTTTGCATCTCAGCTCCTAGCAGGATCCCTTGTCTTCTACACAGGCAACCCTCTACAGGACTTCACACCAGGTCGCTTTCTAGACAGGTTTGTCTACAAGAACCCCAAGCAGAAACAAATTGGTGAGTGGCACGGTAGAGTCTCTCTTTGGAAGAGCTGTTAATTTCATTTTTTGGCTCTTAACGCAATATCCTCATTAAAAAAATGTTTTGAAAATGTCTAAAATTTGTTAAATATTATTGCTTTCTCAGTTTGATCTTATTGAATGTTTGATGTTTGTTTTATTTTAAACTCATATGAGAGAGGAATCTTCATATACACACAATTACCATTCAGATTGCTGGTACCGATTTATCTCACCTTGGTGGAGTGTGGCAAATGTAGATTAATGTCTTGCCAAAGGACATTAGAGCCTCAGCAGGACCTCGAGATGCGAACCTTGTGATCCACTGTCCAATGACGTATCATCTAGACCATGATACCTTCAGTCAAGAATCTAATATTACTCTTATGAATATTGGAGTACCTGAATCTTCTCTGGGTGGCAAAATAAATGCTATGCGAGAAGTCATCGTGATGATTGTATTGCTTTCTGTTTGTCTAATACAGGAAAAGAATCTGTGATGCAGCCCAAGTCTAGATCGTATAAACCCCCAGCTATCAGGAGTATGCCAGTCAACAGCAAGAACTTCACAAGCATGACAGAGGAGAGTGTTCCCATTGATGAAATGTTCTTCCACAGGTATGTCTTTGGTGTAACTATATCAGCTTAAAATGAAATATGATAATGCTGATGTGTAAATGATTATATGAAAGCCTATCTGCACTAGTTTGGCCAGGAGGGATTAGACTTCCCTACATGGTCACTGACAGGTGTTATCTCATCAAATCAGCTCTCAATAAACATAAGAAAAAGAGGACAATGGGGGACCAATGGGCACTGATTAGGCATTTTTTGCGATATAGAGGGCGCAAGTAGCTATAAATAGTGCAGTGGGGCTTTAAAGTGCATTAGAGTGCTATAAAAAGAAGCATTATCATGTCTTGTATTTCATTCAATCTGCCATATTCGCTTAAAGTATAACCTTTTAAATTAAAAAAAAAACCAGAAACATGTTCATTTTGTATTTCTTTTTTGTAGATTCTTTTCTCAGAAAGATCTAAAGGATAAGAAATCTAAAGACAGTAAGAAGGACAAGAAGGCAGATAGCCAGGACAACGAAGATGGAAAGTCAGATGATGAAGATGAAGAAGAAGATTTCGATGAGAAGATAACAAGCAATGCCAACATGGAGGCGCCAGATGAAATCGACAGTGATGCTTCTAGCGTGGATGATGACGAATTTGACAGGATACTTGGTATGTATCATTAAGGATTCCATTTTCATGATGCCATAGAGGAAATTTTGTAGGAAGTACAGATGAGTGTAAAAATTATTTCCTGTATATTAATGATGTAATAACTTACAGTTCTTTTATTTTTACAATAGAAGAAAAGGCAGTCATATATATGATTCTAATCATTGAAGTCAGGAACTCATAATATATTCAGGGCAATGTTGTAATCCATATTTTAATTCCAAAATAGGTTGGAATCATATGTATTTTTCACTTTTACCAATTTTACCTTTTTATGGAAAGTTTAATCAATTTTCAAATATTTCATCGTAACAGTGGTGTATTTTCCCTTTTTTTTTCTTGCCTCCTTTACATATCACCATTCATAACTTTCTTCAGACTGTGTTTCCTTGATTTCAAGTTATGGTATGCTAAGAGTACATTTACCTTTTGAAGTTGATGCTTCTGGAAATAAAATTTGAAAATAAATACTTGCATATCTTTATTTCACTTTCTAGATGAGATTGAGGGTGGTCAAGAGGATGAGGAGGATGACATTGATTTTGCTCGGTAAGTGGAGGGATGTTAGTCCTCTATAATTCATATGTGGATTTGTATGCTTTGATCTTCAAGACACTAATCAAATTCATTCACATCGTATACTCTTGATAATATGTTCTTTATGTGAAGGGAATGGAAAAGATTCAACTTATATAGATGTTTATTTCAGTCCTGGGCCCTGTCTTAAAAAGAGTCGATATGAATCGCAACTATGTACATAAGAGATAGGAGACTGCAAACTTGTGATTGAGTAGAGGACTTGAGATTGATTTGGTCCAATTGCAACTCTTTGTAAGACGAGGCCCTGCTGTAGATAAAAGATTGAAGTCTTTCATAAGTAATTTAATGTGCATGTATGTGATATCAAAAGGACTCCAGTCAAGGAAATTGTCAGGGAAAAGACTAAATGAACTTCTTTCAGTATTTCTAGAAGTTTACTTAAAGAATCCTTTCAGTTACGAGTAAGGAAATGTATTCATGCTGTGTGTAATTTTTATGCCTCCGTTACGAAGTAGCCGGAGGCATTATGTTTTCTGGTTGTCCGTCCGTCCGTACGTCCCGTTCTCGTGATCGCGTTATCTGAAGAACCGATTGATGGATTCCTGCCAAACTTTAGTCATGTATGTATCTTGCAGAGCCGATGAACTGATTAGATTTTGGGGTCACGAGGTCAAAGGTCAACGGTCACAGGGCTCATTATGTATGCAAAAACTGCTCGTGATCGCGTTATCTCAAGACCCGATTGAAGGATTCCTGCCAAACTTAGGTCATGTATGTTACTTGCGAAGCCGATGAACTGATTAGATTTTGGGGTCATGAGGTCAAGGTCAAAGGTCATGTGGCTCATTATGTATGCAAAAATAGCTTGTGATCGCATTATCATTAGAACAGATTGATGGATTCCTGCCAAACTTAGATCATGTATGCATCTTGCAGAGCCAATGAACTGAGTAGATTCTTTGGTCATGAGGTCAAAGGTCAAAGGTCATGGGCTCATTATGTATGCAAAAATAGCTTGTGAACACATTCTCATTAGAACTGACAGATGGATTACTATTTAACTCGGGACATCTTGCAGAGCCAATGAACAGAGTAGATGTTAGGGTCATGAGGTCAAAGATCAAAGGGTCATATATGTATATGAGAAATTGCTTGTAATCACAATATTCTGAGAACCTGTTAATGGATTACAATTGAACTTGAATTTGAAAAATTTCTTCTGTTTTGGTTTGTAAATTGCTCTATGACGGAGGCATCATTTCGACTGCGCGCAGTCGAAGTTCCATCTAGTCTATAATTCATTACTGTCAATGTCTAATCATATTTGCTCTACCATTTTTCAGAGAATTCCAGAAGAAGCCCTCCAAGAAGTCTAAGAAGAGGAAAGCAGAGGAAGATGATTCTTCCTCCGATGATGATGACGAGGATGATGATGAGGAAGATGATGTTGGAATGGAAAGTGATGATGATGAGGAGGAGGAGATAGGAGAGAGTGCAGACGTGGATGGGTTGGATGAGGAAGCCTTTGACATGTCTGATGAAGGTAAGAGAAGATAGATAGGTCAGCAGATTCGGTCATTCGGTCAGTCAATCGATTGATTGGTCATTCGTGGAATGATTAGTAGTGAATACAAATATTATTCAGTCATGGAAAAAGTCATAAGGTGCATGGTGGGATAGGGGTTCATAAATGGTCATGTACAAGATCTTTGGTCGTAACTTACAAGAAATAAGACAAAAATTAACATTAAAAGTGCTAATTGCTTCGTCATTTCATCTGATCCGAGCTCTAGTAGGGGTATCAGCGTGACAGAATCATCTGATTAACTTCTAAATTTCATGATTATGTCAAACATCAGTAACCTATGGGACAAATAACCTTGGACTTGCCAAAGTACAACAGTGGCATTCTTATCTTGAAAAAGTATGGTAATGTAGAAGAAACGATGCAGTAATTGGTCTTGCAAATTCACCATATTGTACTTATGTAAGGCAAGTGAATGCTCAACCCTTTTTTGGGGAGGGCAAATGTTCTACATAGTACTGAGATAAGGGTAAATTTGATGGACTATTTTTTATGTATGACCACATGTATTTTCAATATTAATGTTGTTGTTTTCTTTTTCATCTCTTTCATCAATATTTGGACAAAAAGAAGAGGAACTTTCACCAGTCAAAACAAGCAAGAGGAAACAAAAGCAGGACAAGAAGAGTGCCAAGAAACAACGGAAGAACACACAAGAACTTGGTGATGTTACTGAACAGGTAAGATCGGTTATATCTGTCTGAAGAGATTTAAAGGCCCCCAAAAATAGGTATCCTGAAAGGATAGTCAAACAGAAGATGAACGTGCCGTCGTGTGAAATCATGTTTTTTAAATTTTACTATAATGTGTAAAGTATGTGAGACTCCATCTTGTTCTAAATACTATTTGGATGTGTATCAGAAATTTGCTCCTAGTGTCAATATTCATCTACCCACTCATGGAATGTGGAATATGGAATATTCCTGCTCAATCAAAAAGTACTTATAAATCTAGAAACTCATTTGCTTTGGTTTCCAATTTCATAACAATTTTTAAACTTTTATTTTAAAACAGATATATGAATGAAAGTAGAATCAACTTTTCCAAATGACTAAATAAAGTACCCTTGTTCGTATTACTAGTAAAGTCTTTGATACCATTTGAAATGTACTTCTTTTCTTTTTGCTGCAGATTTCCAGCATGATTGATGAAAATGTTGGATCTAAGTTTGATGTCGGACTCAATGCACTTGCCAACAAAGACAAAGCAGGTTTGTTTAGCTCATTACATTTATGCATTTGGATTCATGTTTTGTTTGATTCCATGTACTCTGGCCCATACGACATATGACGTTTATCCACTCTTTTCATCTTTTAATATGGCTGTTGACTGATGGTAGTGATAACCTAAGAGCCATTAGTCAATGGTCTTATCAGGATTTTACATTTTTTGAGTAAATAAACAGATGAATGCCAGAAGTCGAATGGGAGACATTACATGTATATTACATTGTCCTTTAATGCAAAGGATAGCAAGAAGATTTCATCTTACTTCTTTATCAAGCGCTTTATCCCTCCCCCCCCCCCCATAGAGAAATATAATCAAATTAAAACTATGAAAGGTAACACATAGAAGGAAGGAATGATAATACTACCTTGATTAAATGCATTGTATACATATTTTAAATTTGATAAATACCTACAATTTATAATCTTAAAATATTTACAGAGTGCTAAAGTTCCTACATGACGTGAAATGAAAAGGAAGAAATGAAAGCGCATTTGCAAAAAAAGCTATTGATTGAATCTTTGCCTATGTTTGTGTTTTCAGACATGAAGCAGCTCCGATGGGAGATGGATCGTGATCGATGGGTGAGAGGAGTGGATGCCAGGACCAAGGTCAGGGCCAAGAAGCTGCAGAAAGGACCCAAGGCCAAGGGCTTCAGGGGAAGGGGTAAAAAGAGATGAAAAGATGGACGGCTTGGAGGAGGAGGAGATGTTGGAAGCGGAAGAAAGGAAGAGAGGTCTGAGACGGTGGATGGAGATTTAGCTCTAGAAAGCTAAAACAGGAGCTCTAAAATATTTATGATAAGAACAGTTCTGGTGAAACAAGAAGGAAATATAAGAACTGCTGCTTTGACATCTTACATTCCCCTGAGAAAATATAATGCGAGCTTTTGTGATAATACAAAAAATTTCCTACACTGGTCTGCTAGGTGTATCATTCATCAAGCTTCCTGAAATTCACGACCCTGCATTAAATATGACAGATGATTCAATGTGCCGTTTTAAATCAATGTTGATTTTGATTATGTCATAGGATTCGTCTTCATATCTGACCGAACCTACATGTATATATATATCCTTAGCACACAACATAAACAAGTCATGACTTTGCCATTCCCCTCCCCTTCTTGAAGGTATTCATGACCCCCCTCCCTAAAAAAAAATAATAATAATACAGTGGAACCTCGTTTTAACGAAACCTTTGGGACAATGGAAATTACATGTACCTTGTTATATCAAGGGGAAGAAAAAAAAAATTAAAAAGAGCTGGGACCAGCAAGATCACATTGTAATCGTTTGTTAAAGCTCTTTGTAATGAGGTGCCACTGTAATGATAAATGAAAAATCCTTAAGTTGGATATTTCTGACGAAATGCCAGTGACAGTAACCTCTCAAATGGTTAAGTTTAAATCACATATGAAATGATCCAGAAATTTGATATTTCTAATATAGGCTACATTTTAAAACAAGACAATGGGGCATGCACCCTAGTATGTGCGTGTGTATTTAATTTGCATTTGCTATGAAAGATTGCAAGTTTTTGAAATTTATATGATTTTGAAATTGTAGTCACAGGGTGATTTTTTAAAATAAAGTCAAAAGGATCGTGCCGGGCAAAAAATAAGATCACTGTAGAATGCAAGAACTTTACTGAGATTTTCCTGTACATTGTAAAACTTTCAGATAAGAATATCAAAGACTTTTTAAAATCATGTACTTGTGTATATACAATACATTGAGATAAAAATAAATACATTTGAACAAAGACTTAACAGTTTGGAATGATTTTTATTGTTGTCGAATTTCATTATATATATATGAACACGTACAATAATTTATAATGATTAATATTCAATACATTTCGCATTCGAATTGGAAGCTATAATTCTACCACGTGTACTTAACATTTTCAAGCATGGTTACATGTTAAGCTTTTCATGAATCTAATTAAAACATTGATAATTATGATTTTGTTAGTACATTTACTTACTTCATAATTTTTTTTAAAATGACCATTTGAACTCCAATGGACAAGAAAATCTAAAAATGAAGTTCCACATTTTGTGAATTTATGTATTTACTTACAAGTGTGTTTTTCTTCGTACATGTAGTTATAAAAATATTCATATACCAGCAATAGTGTCCACTCATACTGCATGAAATAGTTCATGAGAAACATTTTAAGTGGAAAATGGCCTTGAAATTGGCAACAAATTATATTTGTCCATTTATGATTATCTAAACATTTTCAAGTTATCAAGTTTCCGTCGCAGCTGTCATATCAAATGTCCTTGATGTTGGTTTGGACTGAGCAGCATTGAAATAAAATCAATGCTACCAACTAAGAGGACGAAAATAACATTTAAGTTTGCCTTTTTTTCCTCTTCTTCCCAGTGTTTTGTTTTTTTCTTCCATGTTCATCTTCAATACTGGATTTATGTAATTCTTACATCTCATATTCACACTGTAGACGAGTATATTTCGTTGTCATATTGCATAAGCATTTTACCTTTTTGTGTAATTAACAAAACATACACCTATATAGACACCATTTATAAGCGAGAGCGAGTACAATAACTATACAAAGTAGTATAAGAGCTTATGTTATTATATCCCATAGACTACCGTTACCCATTCTACTTGAAAATAAGCATTTCTTTAGTGTTTATTAGAACGATTCAATTGGTTTGCACCTCTTACCACTTATAAACTACGGTCTATGTACAGTTGTATAAGCACAAGTTCTCTGAAAATGATAATTGTAACATGCAAATTTTTCAAACAATCAGCATAACTTGAATTATTTTAATGAAGGCACTTTGGTGTAATTAATGTACATACTGTCCAAGCAGAGAGGCAGGTTTCAAGAGCAGGGAAAAAATGCCATCCCTTTGATGTTTGATGGGGGATACAATTCATTTGTGGTTTGCTTTCAATACTGAGAAAGAAAAAAATTAATATGAGGAAAATATTTGTTAGTTATTCAGTACTGTACTGTATATACCATTTTGTGTTATCCTATATTTGTATTTTCGACGATGGGCGGTTAAATCATGTTGCATACTGTAATACCAAGTCATACCAGCTTCTCCACTTACAGTTTAATGAACCATTGTACATTCTTCTTCTTCAAGATAATTTGCCTCCTTCAATACTGAAGATTCTTGCAGATGCCGTATACTCTGCCTGATTGGGGTGTGCAGGTGGACCATTACACCGGGGTTTCCCCCTACTCTTATACAAATAGTGCAAGAGTGGTGACTCTCCTGTACACGGGGCCTCCATTTAACGTCCTATCCAAGGGACGGAGTGTTTTCCACTTAACATAGTCTGCGTCTATGAACAAGGGAAAGGGCACGTTAACACACAACGCAGGCTTCAGTCATCCGCCTTGGTGGGAGTCGAACCCGGGATCTTTGGTTCGACAGGCAGACGCTTTACTGACTGAGCCAACTTGCCTCCTCATTACTGTACATTAATGAACACACAAAGTGAACACTGAAAATCCCACTGCAACTGGTCTTTGGGAAAATCCACATACCCGCCAGAAGCGGATCTAGAGGGGGGTTGGGGGGGTTGCAACCCCCCCAAAAAAAAAATCCGGGGACCATTTTTTTAAATCTTATCTTTTTTTTTAAACTTGTAATTTTATTTTATTCTATTTCTATGTATTTATTTCATTTATTATTATTATTATTATTATTATTATTATTATTATTATTATTATTTCTTTTGGGGGGAGGGGGCAGGCGCGGATCTACGGGGGGTTTAGGGGGTTTAAACCCCCCCCCCCCCCCCTTGGGCGGCCCAAAAAAAAAAAAAAAAAAAAAAAAAAAGGAAAAAAAAAAAAAAAAAAAAGAAAGAAAAAAGAACGCACGCTGGAGAGAAACCCTTTCAAGTGCAAATATTGTGAGAAGATATTCAACTCATCTGGTAACTTAACCAAACACATGATAACTCTGGATATAACTGTGTATTTACTGTTACTTGATTTAAAAAGACGTTATCATGCACTGCTTTTTATGGTCTCCATTGTGTTAATAGATGCCAGGAAAACATCACTTACGGAGTTCAAATAAACACCCCAAAAAAAAATCGGCTCGCCGCTTTGCGGCTCGTGGCAGAGCATCGTCATTATTTTGATCAAACCCCCCCCTTAGCAAAAAGCTAGATCCGCCCCTGACCCCGGTATCCTATTCAAAACTAAGTGACAACTTAAGCAATTTAGTCATTCATTCTACAAAAAATAAACATTCATTGTTGACCTTAGATAGTTGATTAGAATAACAAGAAGTCACTTTGAAATCAGTATATATGAAAGAATGGTGACATTTGTAACTCTGCATTATAATCCAAGAAAACAATAATTAAAAAAGTACATGAATACTGTAAATAACTACTGTATCTAAAAATTATTAAAACTATAGACACATACATTGTTTTAAAAAATGTGCACCTTATATGTTCAAAAGTAAATACATTATCAGTCACAGTCGATGAAATACTTTTTCATTGCACAATTATAAGAAAGTGTAAAATAGAATTAACACTTGTCCCTTCATTGCAAAGGCAAAGCTCTGTGTCATTTGCATCTGAAAACTACGTAATACATTAAATAATAATTCAGTACAGTTTGTCCATGTGCAATAATACTTACAGTACAAGAAAATAATATCACATTTGTTACCAAATCCATATCCCATTAGTAAAAATTATCATTTCTTTCTCTGTGAGGAGTGATGCAGACCTATTCCATATCTTTGAGTCGTAATAAATGACAAAATTAAAATGCTCTTCCAATTTTTGTCCCAATTCACCCTAGTCATTCATGAATCATGATGATTAATCATATTTCATGACATGTACTCGTACCCAAAGTCAAACTCTGCAATCTTTCACATCTCCTGATACAAATCATTTAAAGAAGACAATATTTCACTTCGCTTATCTTCCATCAATAAATAGAATTTCTTTAGGTCTGGAATAGAGTTCTTCACGGAAGACACAATTTGATGTCATGTTGTCTGCAAGTGGGGTATATCATCATCGGACAAATACTCAGTTCTCTCTGACTTGCTTCCGAGACTCGCTAACTTCATACACAGGAAGACGGGTACGACCATGATAGTTGCGCTCAGGGGGTCGCTTCTGGTACACGCTATCAAGATACAGAAGATTTGCAGGTATGGGATCCCGAATATGAGGGCCCAGAACCAGAAAGGAAGAGCCACCAGTCGTCTGGTGATGGACATGTACCATGTGAGTTGATTGGGGTTGAGACGGAGCGTGTCCGAGTACGTCTGGACGTGGTCCAGGGCGAGGGTGTTGTACTGGTCACTCAGCTCAAAGATGAAGTACCACAAAAAACAGCTGAGGGCCAGGAATAAGACCACAAATAACCATCCCATCCTCTGTCGGAATTTCATGTTGCTTCGCAGATGTAGTCATGCACAATGAAAGGAAAGCACTCTGGAATGAACAAAATAATTAACATGGTGCATTTACGATTACCTTTATTCTGTAATAATGCTTTATGAACATATAGTTCTTTTTATATCAAAAGTATATACTAGAAGTGTAAATCCAAGGAGCAAGCAACTCTTCTAAAGGAGGCAATTCTGAATTCAAGACTTTTGCAGTTATTTCAATAATCACCAATCAGATATAGACTATTTTTGAAAAATTTAATATTTACTTTTCAACAAGTACCAAATTTCACCATATTCACTAATGATGAAATCCACACATTACTCATTAATAACAAGGTTTGACAAGTCTAGTCTTAACTTAAGATCCATTTGATGCAACAGCCATTGTTTTGTGTACACTGATGATACTGATACTAGTGATGGCTGATTATCAAGGCCAGGGTTAGGCTATAAAAAAAAAAAAAACCAACACAGATTGAAGCACACGGGACATGTTCATAACTTTAACTCCAGATCCAGTGAGCTCGTAAGACTGTAGAAATCCTCAATTCTTCGTAATTATCAGCTCAGTATTTTAAAGTAAATATGTATGAACAAAGATGATTAGCTATATTTACCCTACTCAAGCTGTACCGAGTTATAGAGGAACCGTGCGTGTAATGAAAATACTAAAGTATTTTTGCTTCAACTTTTAGTTCAAGGTCCACGACATCAATCAATTTAAACCATACATATATTTGATGTAATTTGAGTAACTTTCAATTAGTTTTAGAAGTAATTTGATACTTAAAATATTTAAGAATATTAATAGATATATTTATATAACGATAAATGGAAGATATGATATGACTAAAATAAATTAATTCAGTAAAGTTACACTGACGTACGAAAGTGCCTGTTTATATTCAAAATGGCGGCGCCCTGTGTCTCATGCGAAATTTCATTGAAGTCCGGAGAAAGGACCAATATCAAGTGTGTTCTCGCTACAAATGACGGGAAATTCTCGCGTCAGTCTGTTCGAGATGCTATTTCTAAGGTACAGGCAGATGTGAATGCATTTTTAACGGTTCAGGTGGAGAAAGAGAAGCAAGAAAGTGCACAACTAAAAAGCAGCGGTGTGAGGCCTCACGCCAAATCCGGGGCCGCCGGAGACGCAGGCGGAGCAGCTGGTGGAGAGGGAGACCTTCTCACGAGTGTGACAGGCGCTGGTATGTATGATGGGGGTGGTTGGGCGCTAGCTCACTAGTGTGTCTATACTTTGGACCCGTAACTCTTACCGATTATCCTTCTAAGTTCTAATATAACATACAAAAAATCAACTAAATCTGCAACAATTGTGAAAAATAATGGTCATGATTCAAAATCGTTATCTTTCTTACCTGATTCTTGTCAATTTTCTTTTCTTTTTTGGAGTATTTTTCAAAAACATTAAAAATAACATACCGATACACTTTCTCACAGGTTTCACTGCAAGATCCAAGTACATACAGCATTATACGGAGCAGTGCAGGTGGGCGGCGCGTGAGTGAAGTACTTAGAGACCATAATGAGGATCTGAGCCGAGACGAAGATATTAGTTGTCTTGGTTTTTAGGAAAAATAATTTTAAAAAATAAGAAAATTGAGACGAAACAGTTTAGAAAGATAACGACTTTGAAATCATGACCATTTTTTGAACAATTGTTGAAGATTTAGTTGATATTTGGTATGTTATATTTGTGTTTAGTAGGGTACTCTCCACGCGCGAGTCATAGGTCCAAAGATAGGCACACTTGTGAACTTGCATCATTGGGTGTTGGGTGACCGGATACTTACAAACATAAAGTCTTCTCTTTTGCCTTTTGATTTATCGAAAAATATTTATCAAACAGCACTCACGAGTATAAATATGTGTCCTTTATAATATTGTTCAACATAAGTCTTAAAGGTTTATAAAATGTTGATACATGTAAACTTCTTCAAAATGCTGTTTTAAATCAATTGTCCGGATACTCAACATCTGGGTATTGGACTGGCTCACTAGTGTGACCAAGCTTTTCATAAATGTCACAATTGATGTATGATATATAATTTTTTGTCAGATATGGTCTATTGTATTGCCTTGTCAAATTTACCCTAGTAAATCTGTGTACAAATATTCAAACCAAGGACAGGTTGTTCTAACTCTTGTTAGTAGATCAGAAAATTCAGAGGGGAAATGGATGAAAATTAAAGAATGAACAATTTGGAATATTTGAAAATTTAGACCAATAATGACATTCAGAACAGCCCAAGTGCACAACAAGTCATGAACTCATGATACACAACAAGGATGTTTTTCTTTTGCTGTATGCTATCTTGCTAAGTGGCTAACAGTAACAGTTACTCATTAAATCTCTGTCTGTCAATTCTTGTAGATTAAAATCAAATGGCATATTTTTTCCATGACGTAAGTCTTTGAGCAACATATTTTACATGCCATATATAATTTTTGTTTTGTTTTGTTTGTTCTATTTTTGGAAAGATTCAATTGCTCTTTCAAATTTTAATTGTGGAGCACCAGGAGTGTCAAGTTTGACAGACACAGGCGCTATTCAAGAACTCACTACATGTCTTACTAATTCTACTACAATTACTAATACTGTAATTATTATGATCATGATCATTATTATCATTATCATCATCATCATCATCATCATCATCATCAGCATCATCATCATCATCACTCTCATCATCTTTATTATTATTATGAATACTGGTAACTATGTTATTATAAACAAGTATTTAGTATTCTGTGTACACTGTTATTTCTTCTCTTGATATTTCAGGGGATGATTCTGATGATGTGGGTTTAGAGGAGGATGAAGATGATGAGGAGGAAGACGTTCCAAAAAATGCAGACAATGATGAAGACCAGACGGGCAAAAGAGAAGCCAAGGACTGGGATTCAACATCAAGTAAAAAGTCCAAGTTATCCGATAGCTGACAAAAATAAGACATTGACCCTAATCAGTGATTTTATGTTGGAATCTAAAAGATTGATTAAAATGTATGGCTTGTACAGTTTATAATTTATGTATACATTTAAATATTTTGCACTGATGTAAAATTGTACTGGCAGGAAGGATGTGCTTGAAAAATCCATTGAACAGATTGACAACTAGATTAGAATTTCCTGCAATTTAATTATAAAGTATCTGTAGCATTCTGTACTAGGACTGTCAACCTCCGTGATTGATCATCATCATCATTTATCATCATCATTATCATTGAGTATGGGATGTAGGTGTTGGCCTGTAATTCCCGGACACTACGTCTAGGCCTGGGTCTGGCATCATCACTTGAGAAAGATACTAAATAATACAAATACTTGTGTGCATGATGTAGGACTCTTGTTTTCAAACAAATGAGCACAGTGGAGAAGTCAAAAGGCATAAGAGTATAATTCTACACAATACCTATTACTCCCATGAGCTAAAGGCAAAATCTTAATTTAGTATTTTTACAGTCTACCTAATCAGACTCAAATAGTGTACCTGTAATTTAATTACCATACTGCTAAATTTTAAGTACTAGGTCGAGTTGAAACACTTTTAAGTCTCTGATTTGTTGTACAACTTCTGGAAAAGATACTTGTCTGTCAGATTTGTTTTCTGCATTTCAGTTTTTCCAAATAATGCCCTTTGGCTGAATTATCAAAATAGTTGGAATGCCTTTTCAGACCTCCCCCCCCCCTCCCCCCTCCCCACAACAACAAAAATGTGATCACAATATTTGAGATACCTGCCCAGACCAATGATTGTGAGTAAGATTGGCAGGAGAGGATAGAATTATCTTTCTTTCATTTGATGTTTAAAGTAAAACAGGGTAATGATGATAATTATTTATTCACTTCCTAATAACAATTCCTGGAGTATATGAAAGAAAGTGCAAAATGTGTACATATATCTTTTTATGAAAACAAAAGGAAGTGAAAATGATACATTGCAATTGTGTTTTTTCCCAAAAGTTATGGTGTATTACTTTAATTGCGAAATGTATCTTGTAGCTGCATATGTAGTATGCAAAATGTGTAACTAATACAAACAAAATATTGATTGGGACCTTTGTCCTTTCACTTTCATGTTGTGTTTTGTTTGATTGAGACATTGCTGCATAAACAAAAGTAAAAGATATCACAGAAATACCAAAATTAGTAAGTCCATCCCCATTTTTTCACTTTATTTCGTTGTTAAAAATGATGTATCAGGGGATTTATTTCATGATACCAACACGCAGTCCGCGTATAGATCACCAATTGCCCATATATTTATATCCCTTATGATAATTACATGTATTATGTTATCAATTTGTTCAACTCTATATTAAATCTAGATTTACAGGGTAGACATTCACTTAACATTCACATAATATTATCTTACTGAAGCTTTACCGAAGTCCAGTCTTTTTTATCTGTACAATTGTAACTCTTGTAAACATGCTGATTGATATGTGTAAATGTCTTTTTTTATGTCTTCTTTTGAAGACCAATCTTTCTTTTAAAAATTAGACAAGCAAAATGCAGAAGTTCAAAACAATATGGTTGTTGTCCAAAAAGTGTCGAAGGAGTATTGTCCTTTGTAAGATACATGTATATATACTTAAGTATGTGTATTTCCATTTGGTGAATGCCAGTAGGAAACAATGCATTTTATTTTATAAGCACAAAAAAATATCAAGCAAGAGGGAATTTCAAATTACTATGTACAGTCGAGGGCTACATAACCATATTCAAGACATTATTTGTTTGTGTAAATGATAAAAATCATGATTATGTATTTTACTATTTTATGTCAAAAATGTTTCTGTGTATAAAGATTATTAAAAAACAATCAGCCGTAGACGAAAGACTTCATGCATGGCTGATTGTCAACGAAACGGAGTTAAATCTCTTGTCAATTCTGCTTTTTTTTTTCTACGGCAGGTAGCCAGTGAAAACGAATTCGTTTGATAAAATGATGGAAATGCAAGCACTACTTTAAACAAACAGAACTTTGTCATTCCTTGCTCATTTTACTCAACTTTCTAGAAATGTGATCTTATCTGTGTAATTCAGAATTTCAGATACTGTCTGCCTAATGACTTGTTGGTTTCCTCTCTTCAAATTGATTTTAATCACTCATGCATGAAATAAGCATCATTATTCATATGAGTTGCATCAAATGGAAAAAGAGGATCTAAACTTTCCAAATATGTGTCATTTATTAATTATAAGTTATGATAAAACATCGATAATTCTCGGTTTCGTTTTTTTCTGGGACGCCTTGTATGGTGTCGTCATTGCAAATTTAGCAATGTTTACTTCTGTGTCATACAATAGGCCTACGTACATAATCAAACTGTAATGGAAGCATCTCCCATATCACTTTTAAATCTAGCTGTTAGGATATGTTTGCTCTGTACTATTATATTAAATCAATTGAAAGAATGACGATCATACATTGAAGGAAAAATCCTCCATTAATCGACTTAAGTAGAGAATGTTTAATTCCAAGCCAATTGACCTTTGAACCCAATAATTTTACTAATAAATCCAGTTGTCGTATGAATGAAATGGACCCATAACTGATAAAAGCAGTAGGAATGGGGAGGGATGGACTAATATGTTACAGATAAAAGAAGAAGAATATTGGTTTTCAGTCAAATATTTTAATGAGACCATAAAAGCGAGAAGAAGAAAATGGAAGATAAATCGAAACTGTGAGAAAATGACCAGCTGCGTACACAGACCCTTCTCGTTGCCATAGTACTTGTTTAATCAATGGATTGCATTCTAGATATAAATAAGGATGAAGTATATTTCTTCGAATGCTCCGATTGTACTACGTATATAGTGAGACAGTGTCGTAGCGTAGGTCCAACCACTGAAGGGTCACTTGACATTGGGGGACCTGTCTTGCGAGGTGGATGAAATCGAGTGAGGGGAGGGGCACGTGCCCCCCTTCCCCCCCCCCCCAAAAAAAAAAATTCCAAGATCGATTGAACTTTTTAGACCCCTTTTTTTTTTACCTCGATCGATTACATGTATGTGCCCCCCCCCCCCCAAACATCAAACTCTGGCTACGTGCCTGGTCTTATCTCATATACATTTTGCCTTCCGCTTTCCCCTTCTTTCACCTATACGTCTAATATTTGTCTTTGTTTTGTGCCCCCCCCCCTTTTTTTTTTCCTTCGCCATTCCATCAAATTCAAATATGTCGACAGCGTATCCCCAAAAGGGAAAAAACAAGCAAAAAAAACCATTCACTTTCGAACACCTCCTCTCTATCTCCCTCCCTCCGCCTCCCATGCACCCCTCCCTCCCTCTGTCTCTCTCTCTCTCTCTCTCTCTCTCTCTCTCTCTCTCTGTTGACGCCCCTCCAGTGATGTTATTGCAATGGTAAAGATGTGTTTCCTGAGGAAAATACGGCTTGTTGTGCTTGGATATATAGTTTCTATTCAACGTACAATTATATCTATTTATATTCCGTTTTGGAGACTGTAAACATAATGTTCCCGTAAAGAGTCGCCTTACACTTTTACAGGGCTATCAAACATTTCAAAGAGTTATCAGTGAAGTCCTGGCGGCACAAGGATTTATGAGTTGTTAGGTTGAGGGTTAGCTGAAGGTAAATAAACTGTGAGACAATTTTTTTCTTCTTGGTCTTTGGAATTAGGATATAAGAAAATAATATGTCCTCTGTGGACATAATAAAGAAATGAAATGAAATGTCATTTCACCAACTGTTCCGTGGCTACGGGGACATGTGCCTTTAATCAAATGACAATGGAGAGAAGGGAGGAGAAAGAGGAAGAGGGAAAGAGGGGGCGAAAAGTGAAGGAAGAAGATGAGAAGAGGACATTACGACTCCTCCCATTAATTAATGGCCTTTTAAATTTGCATTTCATTCACAAGTATGACCGTGTCCCCCCCCCCCCCCACCCTTTCACCACATTATGCCAGCGAATGTTCTCATTATCTCTGCCCAAATAAGATTTGGGCGGCAGTTTTATAATTTATTTCCTCAACTTTAGAAAACTACTAGGCCTACATGTATAAATCTTTAAAAGCCTATACATAGTACATATTGACTTGACTTGGTGAAAGTCCATATTATAGCAAAAACATAAAAACGAGGCCTTCAAAATAATGATTGTCGGAAAAGGAGAAAGGGGGGGATGTTTGAAATAAATTCGAAAATTGACTGTTCCTGTATTGAAAGCTATATGCAGTGGTGTAAATAAAAAAAAAATAGCAATCATGATACATTACTGTGATTTATTTCTAGTGGTAGGGAGGGGTATGCGTTTAAAAGGTTCTACTCATGATAAATTTATACCATTTGGGCGACACACAATAATACTTGGGCCCTGCATTTTGTGTTTTCTGCCAAGTCGAGATATTGTATTACTGAAATCCTATCGCTCTGGGAAGCATGTCATTGACTACACTATAATATTTATTTACGTTCGCTGCAAAAGTCAATAGAATATGACCAAAGTAAACTGTTCGCACTAAACTTCAAGGGAGGTCCTTGAAAGATACACTCGAGTGATCTTCAATGATCCATTAATTTCTAAGAGTGTCCGGGACATTATTATCGTAACGAAACCGCAAAAATATTGTGATGAATTGAGTTCGGATGGTGGGATTCCTGTGTCCATGCTGTCATGAAGAATTGCTGTCAAATTTGAACTTTGCATGCAGTCCATAAATTCCATCATGTTGTGATAGTGGCTGTATACATTTTATATACGTCATTCACAGAGCGCTTATAGTGAACAATTCGGTAGTCCGACTTTATTATCAAGAGTGCGAAGTTTTATATTGCACCGTGACAGGCGAGAGAAGAACATTGCCACCTTTTATTGTTCGAACAATGATTTATGACAATACATCGATCTCTTTTTATTGCTGCAATTCATAATTCGGTAAGTTCAGACCCGCATAATTTGGGATCGCAGTCTATCCTTGAACACGGATATACCATATCACTATAATATGTCCATGACTCTGACTGTGACCGTGGTTTTGGAAAGCCTGTATCAAACCAGGATAAAATGTTTATCTTTGACTGGCTTTGTAATAAGCTGACTTCACAGTTATCAACGCGGAAACAGGATTATAAACTGGCAGCTGTTTATATATAAACTTCCGGAAGCAAACTATATCTCTGGAAGAAATGTCGTGAACATGATATCATCATGACTTTGTAGGCCGTAATTGACATTTGAAGTGCTCTATTTTCATTGTCTTCATCGTAATTTTTCATCATGAGATCAGAAATGGAAGAACAGTAACAGCCAAGGGTCCATTGTGGATTGAAAGGACACGCAACGATGTGAGTGGAAACAGAACTGTATACAATATATAAATTTGGTTCCCACGCGTGGCGGGAAAACTTTGCGGGTCGTCTGCTTCACAAATAAATTTCATATTCAGTTCGTCATACTGCGAGAAGAAGAAAAAAAAATGTTCCACACGTGTGAATTCGGAATACTGTCTGGTGTCTTACCGGGGGACTCCAGACTAAATAAAAGGGTAAGTTTGAATTCAATTATCTAACAAATTGGAAAAAATAGTAGGTAAAGAGGTGGAAGTTGGGCCAAATTGTCTTTTTGTGAATATTCCTATCCAGAGAACTTAAATGGTAAGCATAGAGTATATTTGTGTTTCACATACACTTAAAGTGAATGTATGATGTTGCTATCTAACGAAGCATTTCATATCGATTCGTTAAACGTGCTCTATTCAAAGTCACACACTGGAGGAAAGTTTTGTCAGCAACAAGGCCAAAAAGCGAAATGACGTGCGTGGTCACGCTCGAGGGGGAGGGGGTCATCCTCAAGCTCTTCTCTTAAACAAAGAGGAATATCGACCCACCTACATTACAAATCGTTACACAGGTATCACAGATCATTGAGCATATTTCGAACATAAAAGAAGGCGTTATGTGTAAGTTTTGGGACAAGACGTTCATAATTTTCAAGCAAATGCTCTATCCTTGCATGGACACAGTTTTAAAAAAGTCCACTCTTATATACATGTATTTATCACATGATGCCACTAAATACAATCTCTGGAGTAAGGAATTAATTTTCGTTATACACGAACACAAACAAAAACAGTCTTGATCATATAATTTGCACATAGAATTTGCTGAGCTGTGGATAAAATCATCATTTTCGCCTGTAGATCCCATGGATTTGAATAGAGATTATAGCACTTGAGTATAATGCGTTGGACTTTGTACACCGATTACGATGGATTTACATGTATTTCCGCAAGTGCCTGCCAAACACTTAGACCATATTCCTTTTCTATACGAAGAATGTGTTAATGCGGCAACAACAAGGTAGACCTACTCTTTAAATAGAAATCTATCAGAATTATGTCTTCCCTTTGGACGAAACAAACCTAAAACCAAACGTAAAATCAATTATCACATCCAGTCTCTTCACTAATGAGAGATGTTCCCGGAAATAGACCCCCTTTTCACAATCACCCGAAAGATGCTTTCTCAAGTGGCGTCGCCATGGAAACCCTGTCCTAAACTGGGAATCAGCTGTCTCTTTTTAATAATCGTTTGTACAATAATTGATTAAGCCGTGATTTGCCCTGTCTGAAACACAGGGTTTGGGAATGTATTGAAAAGTGCACCGTTTTCAGGTTATGCCAAAGAAGGGATGGCATTCTCGGATTTGTTAGTTTTTTTATATTTCCGTCATTCTACAAGGAAATGATATGTTTGTGTCGGACTATGTATTACTTGGACAGCTCTGAGGTTTAAGTCAGTGTCGCGGTGAAAACTGAAGTTCTTTTTTTCCCCCGACAGAGTGAGGTGATAGTGTGTGTTGTTAAACAAGGTAATATCAATGTTGTTGTGGTATTCTATTGAGTGAAATATTATTGGAACCTGCTGTAGTTTCTACCATTCAGTGTCATTTTTGAGATACACCATCTCGAAAATGTGTAGGTCAAAGTATGAGCGTCAAGGCATCTTTTAAACTCAGAATATTTTATCCAAGTATGCTCAAATGGGCGTTTGAAAGTTTTGTTCGACATTCAATGTCATTAGTAATACACAAATCAAACTTTATACCTGTATTTTGGGAAGGGAAAAATCATTTCGAAAATGTCAAGCAATGTGATCCTAACAATATTGTTTGTTGACGTGAAGAATACATTTTGGTATTTTGCATGATTTCTTCTTTTGTTCGGTTAAATGTGCGTATAGAAAAAATTCAGGCCTATCTAGACATTTCAACCCTATGTTCCACAGTTTTGACATTTCATGATGAACTTTCCGAATGTGCACATATTAATGATTCTACATAATATATTTGCCATATAGCATGCAGGCAAAACAGGTGTAGAGAATAATCATGTGCTTTAATATATCAAGATAAAGTTCACTTGTATTATTTTCATGATTTCCAATCTCAGGACCGATCGCAGAGATGCAATGAATGTGACACGATGTCAAAGAAGATCATATCAGAAAAGGAGATCCAGGAATCTGTGGTCGTCTTAAAAGACAGATTGCGAGTGAGTATTTATCTTCCATTTCATACCTTTAATCTAAAATTAATGAATTGACTCATTTTGAATGTTTGAAGTTTGCTTTTTTAATTCGTTAATTATAACATTTCTTATTGGAATGCCACCTCGTTCTAATCTTCGGGGGCTCTCACTAGTGTATAATATTATGCTTCTTTTTAAAGGAGGGATAGGCAGATCGAGACACTATTTTCTTGTTTTATATTATATCCTTTCTTTCTCGAATAATATGCTCCCTTACGCCATACTCTTTCTCACAGTTAATTCTACATACTGTTCGCACTCACTGTCCTATTATGATCGACGCCCCTGTCATTAAAGCTTATTTGAGTCTAGGGTCCTATATAGGGACACCTCTTCGGGATTTTTCAAACTTATTATTGTCGGGCGTTTGTTTGTTTATTTATTTTTATTTCTGCATTTTCAAAATGAAACATAATCATATATATAAAGTAACAAATATTTCTTCATTTTACATGATTATACATTTTTAAGTACATTGAATAAGATGCATACAAACACAAATATAATTTCAATGAAAAAAAAAGGAAAAAAAAAGAAAGATAAATTACAGAAAATGCAGGAGACCGCCATCATGAGCGGTAAGCTTGAAATCGATGGCGGCCTCGAGAGAATAGCGGCAAACTCTTAAAAAATATAGTTGTACACACGAAATTGATCAAGTGGGTGCAGTGAAAGTGCATGTGCAAGTGCGAATAGGGTTCTGGTATGTAATGTTTATAATACAATACTATTGTATTTTAAGAATTAATAAATTAAAAATATATTCGAATTAAGAGACGAAGTTTAATGAATAACGATTTTGTATGAGGATATAATGTGACGTTTTAGTGTCGCTTTAAAAGAATAAAGGGTCGAGCGTGATTTAATTAGTTGAGATAAATTGTTCCATAAATCGGGGCCATGGTGTCTGATTGATTTATGTGTAATCAACAATCTGGGGTTAGTTAAATGAAAATTCTCAGAAATACGAGTTGGATAAGAATGAATTGTATTATTATGAACAAAAAAATTATCGAATGAAGGTGGCAGTTGCTTATTCATGTATTTGAACATAAAAATTGCAACTTGGAGAGTATGTAAGTCAGTGACTTTTAAGGTTTTTAACTTAAGAAATAATGGGTCTGTATGGGCTAAAAAAAGAGATCCAGTACAAATACGCAATGCCCTTTTTTGTAATAAAAGAATTGAATTAAGTTTGGTTACACCACAATTTGCCCAAACAATATTACAATATGTTATATATGGAAGTACTAGTGTGTTATACAATAAAAATAACGTAGTATGGGGCAAAAGAAATTTTAACTTATTTATTATTCCAACACTTCTCGATATACACATAGATACATAATGTAAGTGATCATTCCATGTTAAATTTTCGTCAATAAAAACTCCTAAAAACTTTAATGTCCTTTTTTGTTCGATTGCCATATTATCAATTTTAATATTAATACGGAAATTAGTCAAATGAGAATTATAGTGTTTAAAGAGCATAAAATGTGTTTTTCTTATGTTTAATGAGAGCTTATTACACTTAAACCAGTTCGAAACTTTGTGTAATTCACAATTTAAAATATTCACTAATGATTCTAATTTCTTATGAGAGCAAAACATATTTGTGTCATCTGCAAAAAGAATAAATGACAATAAAGAAGATGTGTTGGATAAATCATTTATGTATAAAAGAAATAACAGTGGGCCTAAAATGGAGCCTTGGGGAACGCCACAATTAACGGAAAGTAAATCCGAATTAAGACAGTTAAAATTAACATATTGTTTTCTATTTGTTAAATAATCCTTAAGATATGAGAGGACTTGGCCCCGAATACCATAAAAAGAGAGTTTTTTGAGTAAAATATTATGATCGAGCGTATCAAACGCTTTACTGAGATCTAAAAAAATACCAATTACGTGTTCTTTATTTGCTATGGCATTAGTAATCTTATCATAAATTTGTACTAAGGCCAAGTCAGTGGAGTGATTTTTCCTAAAACCATATTGATTTAAATTTAATATTTGGTGAGTATTTAAAAAATTGATTAACCTATTATAGACAATTTTCTCTAAAACTTTAGATATGCTAGGAAGAATAGATATTGGACGATAATTACTAATTTCATGCGAATCATCTTTTTTAAAGATCGGAATTACCTTCGCTATCTTAAGTAAATCTGGAAAAACACCTTGCAAAAAAGACTGATTAATAATATGGCTAAGTGGACTTGCAATAACATGTATTATTTGTTTTAAAAGTGATGTACTAATTCTATCACAACCTTGAGCTTTGGACATGCTTAATGCTTTAGTAACGGTAATAATTTCATTAGGGTTTGTTGGACTTACAAAAAGTGATTGTTGGATTCGATCTGATAAAAAGTCAGTATAATGAATGTTAGGAGGACTATCAATTTTATTTGCAAGTTGAGGCCCAATATTGGTGAAAAATGAATTAAAATAATTAGCATAATTACTAGAATCCTCAATTATAACATTATTTAAGGTGAACCCATCTTTTGGTAAAGGGTCTATTTTTTCCCCCATAATTTCTTTAATAATTTTCCAAGTAGCATATGTGTTACAACTAGCCCTCTTTAATTTATTTGAAAAGTGTAGCTTCCGGGATATTCGAATTAATTTTGTTAATTTATTACGGTATTTTTTATAAGTTGTTAAATTTACATCAGTTTTGTTACGTATATATGTTTTATACATGCGATTTCTAGTTTGTATTGATTTTAGTATACCTTTCGTTATCCAAGGGTTATTTGGTTTATTATTTTTACGTTTAACTTTCGCTATAGGAATATTACTATCATAATAAGTTTGTAATTTATTATTGAAAATTTCATAGGCAATATTTACATCGTTTACATTATATATGTCCACCCATTCCTCTACAGCTAAATTCTGCTTCAATAATTCAATATTATGAGGGGTTTCTTTTCGATACATGATATTATTAAGTGGTTTCAATTGGGAAATTTCATGTTCACATATTACAAAAATAGGTAAATGGTCAGAAACTTCTGAGCATAATAATCCTCCAGTTATTTTTTTAGTAAATGCATTAGAAAAAATATTATCAATAAGCGTTGAGGAGTGTACATTTATTCTAGTGGGCTTACTAATATATGAACAAAATCCATATGAACGCATCAAATGAATAAACCTGTCAGAGTTTCTATTATTATGGGGTAAAGAAAGAAAATTTATATTAAAATCACCCAGAAAATAAACATGTTTATTTTCCTCAGATATTTTATGAAGACATGATTCAAAATTGTTATAGAATAAATCAAAATTACTGTCAGGGGGTCTATAAATCAAACCAATAACACAATTTTTCAGTTTATCATTATCAATTTCAATAAATAATACTTCTGTCTGTTCAAATTTAATATCATGACGGACTCTAAATTTCAAATTATCAGCAATATAAAATGCTACCCCGTCGCCTCTCCTTCCTTCACGATCAGCCCTTATTAATGTGTAATTAGGTAAATTAAATAACTGGGGAGAGTCATGATGTAACCAAGTTTCACTTACTCCAATTACAGAAAAATTAAAATTATTTAAAGACTGAAGGAGATTTTCAAAATATTCAAAATTTCTATTTAAACTTCTAGAATTAATGTGTAATAAGGAGATATTATTCAAATTATCTATAAATGTATCATTAAATTCCAACGGTGTATAATATTTACTTTCATTTACAGAATCATTAAATGTATTATCTAATGATGTGGGGAAAGGTAAGTTAGAAGCTATCGTCTCCATCAAACAAAGGGGTAAAGGTTATATTCATGTTGATGAGTGCATGTGCACGTGCGTGCGTGTGAATTACATTGTTCAGGTGCTGGTGCATATACAAAATACAAATCTTCAAAGCATTAACCAAAACTTCGACACCCATCATGACAAAATCGATTGCAAAAGCGCATAAGTGGCTCTCAGCCAACGCCCAATAAACAAAACTTACACTAATCAAATCTATTATGAATAGTGGCTTAGTGAATTGAAAAAATACTTTATAACTGTGTTTCCAGTGTCAAATGCCATTTCATAATAATATGACTTCTCCCACCGATTAGGGCGCTTTTCTGCGGCGGGAGGTAGGATAAAAAATAAAAAAAGCAATGAAACAAACGAAACCTGCGTGCAAGGAATGATTGATGTATTCATTGCTAACTAGTTTGACTGGACAAAAAGAAGGCACACTCAAGTGTAAAATTTGACAATACAAGTGGCAATGCGACAGGGAAAGATAATGCGAGTAGCAAACGTGTAATTCCAGTAGCAAAAGATGGTATGTGTCTTTATTCAAGAACTTCAAAGCTGAGAATTGTATTTACATACAGTATCCTTTTAAGTAGAGGGTGAATTTAGTAACCCAATTAGGAGAGGAATGATGCGCATATTCATTCAGACTAAGCACTGGACTGAAATGAATTTACATTAAAGATCACTCCTTTCATTCACTACGGTAACCAACCAGTCAATAATCCAACGAGTAGTGCTTGTTCGCTTTTGTTAAGGTAATTCTTAAGGAACTTCATGACATATTTGTTAAGAGTATATTTTAACATAGTTAAACAAAATGTTACATTATTGATAAGTTCACAACATATGCGATAGTAGTAAGGATAATACATACCAAGCTATAGAATGATGTAATTTAAATGATCGTGTGAAACACGCGGAGGTTAAAGAGCCCCATTGTCGACATAAAATAAGTGATTAAAGTGCGACCAGCTACAGGAGAAGGAAATTCCATTAACAAATGCGTAATTCAGTAGGAGAAGAACAATGTATGAATTAATTCAAAGTTAACAAAGATAAAGATAACCAACCCTGCCCCCATCGGTCCCCCTCCCCCAAATCGTCTGACCAAAATTGTCTGTCATGGGCATAATTTCCTCTTTTATTTTTGATGAGCAACCCTTAAAAGGGGATTAGGAAATTTGGAGGTCGGGGACGACCGGACGAGTGTGTATAAATTAAAGCGATTATTTGGGCGCTGGGTGGCACGGTTCTAGGACAATTACCCCCTGGACAGTCACCCACGGCCGATTACCAGCGGGACAATTATCCCCTGGAAAATTACCCCGTAAGGACAACCATCCACCCCCCCCCCCCCGTGGAAAAATTACCCCCGCCCCCGGAAATTCACCCCATAGGTCATTTTCCTCCGGAGGCTAATTACCATCCAGAAATTACCCACTAGGATAACCACCCCCGTGTGGGTGTGTGTGTGGGGGGGGGGGGGGAGACGCACATATCTTGTCTTTGGTTAATTGTCTGAGGGGGCAATTGTTCACGGGGGGGGTGTAATTGTCGTAGGTTGTAATTTTCCGTGGGGTAATTGTCCTCGGGAGATGATTGTCCGGGGGGGGGGGGTAAATTTCCGAGGGATAATTTTCCGAGGGCTGATTGTCTATTGGGGTAATTGTCTTGATACAAGGTGGCGCATGCCCGCTGTGCCCTACCCCTTGCTCCTTGCTATCCGCCATTTTTATAGTCAACACCTCGATGCAAAATAAATATCCATTATTCCACGCATTTAAAGATGAGACTATGTCTTATTTCTTTTTATATAATATTCCTTGCCTAATATAATATAAATCGTTATTCTTGGTTACAGATAATGCAGATCATGGTTGACGACTGCGCCGACATGTTCCAACAGAAGAAGATCAAGAAATGGAAAGCGGCAAGGCGACAATCGCGTGATGCCCACTACGAGTTGGACTGGAATATCATCGGTTGTGTTCTCATCATTATATTCTGTTTCCTGTTTCGTTCTGCCATAGCTCTTATTCGCGGTCCTGTAGTTCTGGAACCTTGCATTGAGCTAGAGCCCATCGCAGAGCCCGTAAACTGAACCAGGAAAATAATACAAATTTTAGTAGGCCTACATGCATTTGCCTTCGTCTATGAAAGACTTGGAAGCAGGAGACATTGCTATTTTGTATATCTGCATTTCTCCTTTGATGGCTGCATGGAAACAGTGCGTTTCAACACTAATGGAAAGCAGGGGCATCACTTACTGGAGATAGGAATGAGCGGATGATCTCTTCCCAATCATTCCGGAACAACAGAATATGTCGAGTTTTTACAACATTTAATATTTATTTTTCTCTCGTGTCTCATCCATCTAATACACTGATGTCCCCTTTCACTCCCTCATAGCACCATTGCCCCCAGGAGTGCCCCTCACTGGCTGGACACACGATATGCCCCTCTGAATGGACTTGGTTATAATTATATGGTGTCATGTTGCTCCGTTTCTAAAAACTTTTGTATAAATGGAAGTGGAAATGTGCGATTCCATGAATGCGTGGGCAGTCCGATATTAGCTTTTATCTATTTATTTATTTTCATCCATATTTTTTTAAATAACTTATATTGATATGTCCATTGGCAAAAGTTCATTCTGGTATCACTTTTACTTTTACATGGTCATGTCAAGAGGTTTTTCATTTTGAATGAAATAAATATCATATTTTATTCATTATGTATCCCAGGCGCGTACGCAGGGGGTGGTTTTGGGGTTAACCCCCCCCCCCCCCTCGAGTTTTTTTTACGTGTATGTTTTATGTATGTTTTTTTGGAAATCCCCCCCCCTTTGATTTTAAAACCCCCCTTGAAAAAAATCCTGCGTACGCCACTGATGTATCCACATAGATAGCTAAAATAAGATGTAATGTTATGAGTGTATAAATAATTATATTTTTGTCATGAAATGAATAAACATAAAACCTACAAGCACTTTCTTACTTTCTCAGTGTTTATTATTACTCTAAATCAATCAATCAATAATCAAACAACAAACCAACTACGGTTCTCAATAGTATACTTCATCATTCAGCTCCCACATGGATAAATCAGACAAGACCTCTCAAAACTCAAATACAGTACATTCGAGGTTAATAACATATTATCTATATTGTTTTGTAATTCAGCAAACTTGGGGCCTATATTGCCAATTTTTTAAATTTTTTAAAAATCTTTACCGTTTACTCTATTTCATTTCTAGGGAGACAAAAAAGTACAGAATGCAGGAAAACGAAGTAAAATAACAAACAAACATCCATATATGCCGGCGGACCATCAAAAAGAATACAAATGTATGTGTAAGGCTTTTCTCCTTAGCTAATGGTATAATCGATAATAGTAGGGCTGTAGGAGACTAGGAGGACATAATGGAAAGTGTGTTAGAATATAGAGTTTCGTATCTGGCAAAGCGCGAAATCAAATTGCACGTTTTATCACATATCCATACTCGGACAACTTTTTCTGGTCAGCATAAAGTATATTTTGAATTGACTTTACGACTGCGTTTGTGAAACATAAATACGATATTAACTTCATGTACATTACGTACATATTATATTTGTAAATAATTTCTGCCACAGTTTATCCAGGGATGTTGGAATTCCAACTCCCTGGTTTCTCTAAACGCTGGTATATATAATGTTTGAAACGCTAGATGGCGCTATATACGATTACAATTTCTTTGGCAATGACCTCTCGCTCAACGTTTGGCTCGTTGGTATACACAGTTGGTACATTATTTTCGTTTTGATAAATTCATACCTGCATACTTAAGAGAAATGGGCAACAATTCATACAATATTTTCTGTCTACAAATCTTTATTTTCATAGGGTGCCGGATATTTTATTTCATATTATTTAGTTTTGCTTGGTGGAAGAATAAAAATTAAGATTATAGTGCGAGAATTTGAAAATCCTTGGATCCTAGATCTTTCCCATTGTACTTTTTCATTTACCCCCCCCCCTCCGTTGAGACTGATTGTTACAACATATTTTGTCAAAGGGAGAACAATAAAATTGCTTGATATTCTATAAGGAGGCTAGATAATTTACACCATGCTACCTACTCCCATCTTTGGCGAGACTAAACGAATTTAATTAGCGAAACTGGTTATTATTTGCCCTTCAACCCTTCCTAGTCAGTAAGTTTTATGACATTGAACTCTTAATTTCTTCCGATTTTCTTCTTCAATTGCATTTCTCTTTCATTGATCTTTTGTTAGGGGGTGGTAGGGGCGGTACTATGGTAGACCTTACACTTTAAGATGAGCGATCTTTCTGAGAGAAAAAAATTGTGATGAGAGTGCCACGCCCAACTCCCATCCATAGAAACGGCCATGTTTATTCCTTCCGCTCCTACAGCAACCCTCCAACCAAAACCCTCATCCAGGATTGATGAAGTCGTTGATCAGCGGGGTCGTTGGGCAATAATGTTTAATCAGGTGCCCTGCGGGAGAAGTTGACCTTTAGAGGGTCTCAACTCCTACGTTATTCCTTTCATTAAGGAATAAAAGTTTGTCTGATGACTAGCTTCTTGGTTTCATGCATCCTTCTTGTTCCGAAAACAAAAGGTGTCGTCTCGGTGTGTGGGTGCGTCAATGGATGCCTCGAGTTCAGGATTATACCCCAATGAAAGGTTGTAATCGGCAATACATTTCATTTCAAAATCAATCAAAATATCACTTTGATTAGAATTCTATCATAAACAGTATATCTTTTCAAAATGAACGAATTTTTGTTCACTTTTCGTCAAAATATCATCAAACTGATTCCTTGATTTTTCTTTCACATCTCCACACACTACGACCCACATTTCTAACTTATCATCATTAAACTGTGTTAACGAAGATAAATTTATCTTCATTTAACAGCTAAATGAGGATAAATTTATCTTCGTTTAACAGCTAAATGAGGATAAATTTATCTTCATTTAACAGCTAAATGAGGATAAATTTATCTTCATTTAACAGCTTAATGAGGATAAATTTATCTTCATTTAACAGCTAAACGAAGATAAATTTATCCTCATTTAACAGCTAAACGAAGATAAATTTATCCTCATTTAACAGCTAAACGAAGATAAATTTATCCTCATTTAACAGCTAAACGAAGATAAATTTATCCTCATTTAACAGCTAAACGAAGATAAATTTATCCTCATTTAACAGCTAAACGAAGATAAATTTATCTTCATTTAACAGCTAAACGAGGATAAATTTATCTTCATTTAACAGCTAAACGAAGATAAATTTATCTTCATTTAACAGCTAAACGAAGATAAATTTATCCTCATTTAACAGCTAAACGAAGATAAATTTATCTTCATTTAACAGCTAAACGAGGATAAATTTATCTTCATTTAACAGCTAAACGAGGATAAATTTATCTTCATTTAACAGCTAAACGAAGATAAATTTATCCTCATTTAACAGCTAAACGAAGATAAATTTATCTTCATTTAACAGCTAAACGAAGATAAATTTATCTTCATTTAACAGCTAAACGAAGATAAATTTATCTTCATTTAACAGCTAAACGAAGATAAATTTATCCTCATTTAACAGCTAAACGAAGATAAATTTATCTTCATTTAACAGCTAAACGAAGATAAATTTATCCTCATTTAGCTGTTAAATGAAGATAAATTTAACCTCATTAAACTGTGTAAATGAAGATACCGAAAAACGAAGGCGACCACGTACGGTGAACTCGTCTTCTTCTTCTTCGTCGTAGCCATTTCGAAGAAAATTCAAAACGCGTTATAAAAGGAAAAATTAACAGATTATGGACAACGTAACCGCGAGTGACGATGTCGAATCGAAGAGTGATCTTAAATCTGGTGCTAGCCTCGCGTGTACCATATATGTTGTTTGTGCCCAGACTATGTATATACTATTAGACAGAGCTCTAGCTGTTTACAAACAACGGACGCATTGCCCGCGCTCGGCTATTGTTCTCTTTGTTCTCTCTTTGGTTATAGCTAGTCTGCAGACACAGACCCTTGACAGCCATTATGAGTAAAAACAATGTCTAAATTTCAAACATGAAAGTACTGAGTTATGTCATGTAGCTGCTTCTGACACAGTGCAATACTGGAAAAGAAACATAACACATCAAGCAGAATCTGATTCTCCTGTTTATTTCATGTGGTTTTATTCAAGAGTAAAGTTGAGTCTGTGTTTACAGACTAGGTTTGAGATGGTGAATAGATAGAACTAATAATCCCCGTGCGACCGGCTAACGACGGTCTGGGGAGAATTTGGGTGTATCATCTCTCTGGTGTATCTGTACATGGAGGTAAATGGGTGTATCATATTCGTAAAATGCAGACCTTTTAACAATCTATCAGGGTGGTTACTTAATTTGCAAAAATTCACCTTTCAGAAAGAAAACATGCAACGTGCTAAAATTAGAAGACAAGACACAGGATGGGGCTGCATTGGGCTAAATAGGCCTATGTAAATTATAATGTTTAATATTATCAGGGAACCACTGAGCTGTGTGCCCGGCCGCAAAAAATATATGAGCAATATTATCTTTAAAAATGCAAATACATGTATTTCACTTTGACTATTAAGAGCATAAATCGGAGGGAAAGATGAAAACAAACGATATTAATTTTATGTGCTTGAAAACTTGACTTTTCTGACTTTCGCTGAATATCTGTGTTTAAAAATTGTAAACTTGGCAGAGTTCAGAATGGGCCTTTGGACAGCTAGCATACGGTCTGGATGTGTAATTTCTTTCTTGTTCAAAATCCTAATCGATGTTTTGTGGAGTTCATCGGCATGAGAAACTTTCTTTAGTTACAAACTAAAGCATGATAATTATGATCGATGCCCCATAAGGAGTGCAACTAAATCGTTCGGAAAACCATGCCTAAAGTATAAACCAACTGCAATTATGTACAAACATGTAAAGACATGGCACCTAACCGAAGATAGGCCTATACTCCTCCTATAGAATGCATTCGATATTATGAACTTCACATGATTGTTGGTAAATAATATAGTAGGCCTATATCATTCATAGTAAAAAAAAAATTAAACACCCATTTGGTTTCATTCAAAATCTATATAAGCCCATA